GCTTTCTTGCAGCTAACCTTTGAGCAGGCCATAGGCATAGGCATGTCCCATGAGCTGAAGGGTTCTTTGCTTAAAGACCATAAAGATGGGAAGATCTGCCTACACAAAGAGAGAGAGACAGATAGACCTGCCCATATGCATGTAGAACCTTTAACACATGCCCGTTTCCACACTCGGAAATGTCTGCATAAGTGGACTTGTTCATGTTGCTTGCCTACTATAAAGAAAAAAGAGTGGGTAGATAGACACAGAACCTGTGGGAAGGCCCTACTTGGGTAGACATTTAGTGCACCTAGAAAGAGTTCACATTAGAGATGCACCAAAGAGTGCCCAGCTGCTCATATTACATGAAAGGTTTGTGTCTTTATTACTGCTCACAAGCCATCCAGAAGCAGATAAAAACACTAATATAAAATAAATGAACACAAATATAAAATTAATTAACTACATAAAACCTCTCTACACATCACTTGTCTTACAGTTAAACAAAATCTGAGTAAATTATGCACTGGACATTAGCTCAGCTCATATTTTCATTTCAGAGCAACTTTGCCACAGAAACAGTAGTTTTTTTTGTCAGCCCGACAATAAGATTGTTGGAGTTTTCTGCTCAGACAGCATTTTCTTATCATACAAGAGAGGTTCCAGTGCAGCTTATGATTAATAGGATTAATAGGAATTGTTTTTTCCCTGACAGTTTATTTTGCAGAATCATTCGCCAGGGCCCCATTTGATGAACACTTTATCCTTAAGTTATGCAAGCTGTGACAGACTGCACTTTTTAAAAGCTTAGAAGTTCTGTGTAAACAGATAAATGACTTGTGAAGGGTTAATTCTCCACAGTTAGAGAGCCTGGAGTAACAGGCTGTTTTGGTTAGCATCAGCTGAGCAGAGAGAGATTCTGAACTGGATGCTGAGGAGAATTCAGTGTGATTTCAGCCCTAGCTGAGAAGACTTGAGTACTGACTGTTTCAGAATTCAGCTCTGACTGAGAGCAGTTTAATACAGACAGGAGAACTGGGGGAAAGCTGGCAAGGAGGTGTGGGTAGTTAGATGGAGACTCCCATCCAGGCCAAGGAAATGGGATAGATCTTCTAGAGAGAGGAGAAAATTCCCTACCCAGTCAAACAGGGAGTTAGCTCTAAAGAGTGCAGAGATCCCTGGTCTGGTGTGGTTAGAAACTGCCTTTAAAGCCCTTAAGAGTCAGTTAAAAACTCAAGAGAAAGGGGTTTGGATACTGGAAATAGTTTACCAGCCTTCTGGAAACCTAAATAGTCAGAGAATGCTCAATAAAGTGTACTGGAGTGTTTGGGGAGAACACTGGAACAAAAGCCTCTCAACATAAAGATTTAAGTCACTGTGAAAAGCTTAAGAAACTCTCGTTAACCTGAAACATAAGAACTAAAGTTTGTGCGTGTACCGATTTTACCTCAGAATTATCTATAGTGAGTTACCTCAGAAAATCTACCTGATTTCACCTGACCTTTCCCCTCGAATATAATATTCTGTTAATTCGAAATATAAAAATGTGCCATTTAAGTTAGGGGGCTCCCAATCCTTCCCTCAGGTTCCTGGGCTGAGCCAACAGCCAAAATATCATACTGTGACAGGGTGAGACAGCCAAAATTCTTCAGGAAAGAAGAAAACACATTACTAGGGTGGCTCAGTCAGTAAAAGGAAGGAAAAATGGAGTGAAAATCTTGCCTCTGAAGGAGGGAACTGGATGGGGCTGTCATACAAGCCAACCTTGCAATACCAGGCTTGGTATACAATTAACAGGACAGACTGCAAATCTGGACAGTCCCTGGGCAAAATGGCCTCCCATAACACTGATGCACACATGAAACAGACTCCCTCTCTCTTGGAGGAGAGAGCACAGCATCACTGGCAACTCCTTTATGTTTCTTGAAGTCCCACTGGAAGGAGCACAGGAGAACCATGCTCAGCTCCCACTCATCCAGAAACTGTAAATGGCCCCAGAGCTGCTATGATTTCTTTCATTTTCAGGGAAGGAGTCAAGCACAGCTCTCTCATCCTCCTTCAAGCCCAATTGGTGATGATGGGTCTTAAAACGGCATGAGAGCCTCAGCACCCCATTCACTGCTTCTTCCTGGACAATTCTCTCACATACCAAAATGTCAGGCTGGGACTGAAGGGACAGCACTGAACTCCTTTCCCCTGGGCACCATAAAGGGAGACTGTCTGAGAGACCCTTGTGACTTTTCTGTGGCCTTTGGGCATAATTTTCCATTTCCAGGAACCTGCATTCCTCTAAGTCCTCTTGTGTTAGGGGTTCATGCTGAGGCCTTGCAACTGACCAGTGATGCGAATCAGGTCCATATCTCACACTTAGCAACATATGAGGTTGTAGGGCTGCCAGGCCCCTCAGTGACAGCTATCTTTGCACCCCTCCCACTGCTCAGAGTGGTAGCTGGATAAATTGTTTTTAAAGGCCAGTGGCATGTGTTTTGCTATGTCACTTCTAGGAAAAACACGGATGTGACGTAGGTTAGTTTAGGAATTGCCAGGAACTCTACGGTTTTACCATAGAGTTTCCGGTGATTCCTAGAGCTAACCTCTGTCACACCCTGATAGGGTTGCCAGCTCTAGCTTGAGAAATACCTGGAGATTTTAGGGGTAGAGCCTAGAAAGGGTGGGGTTTGGAGAGGGGAGGGACCTCAGGATGACATAATGCCATACAATCTACCCTCCAAAGCAGCCGTTTTCCTTAGGGGAACTAATCTTTGTGGTCCAGAGATCAATTGTGATAGCAGGAGATCTCCAGGTGCCACCTGGAAGTTGGTAAACCTACTTCAAGGTTTCTCCCTAAAGTGATATAGCGGCACACCCAACATCATCCCCCCCCACACCAATTGCCAGGGATGAATCTTCCACCAATTGCCAGGGATGGCCCGGCAACCCTATAAGCTTGTAAAGCATTTTCTAGGCTGTACCAGTTCAGACGGCAGGTTCTTTGTATCCAAGAAGTACCTGCTCACAGAGAACAGGCACAACAGGCAGAAGAAGAGGCGGACATTTAGTCCCAGAACAACTTAAGAACATAAGCCAATGTTAGATAAGGCCAATGGCCCATCCAGTCCAACACTCTGTGTCATACAGTTGCCAAAAATACTTAATCTTTTGCTGTTTAATGAACTCCCTGTCTTTGAAATCCCCTGACTTATATACGACAGAGATCAGCTTTGTGTGTAAAAACAAAACGGGGAAAGAGGAAAGGCAAGGGAGTGGTGCTTCCTCTTGCTTCTGGTGCAGTACATGAAAAGGAATTTGCAAGGGCCAGATGCATAAGCTCCAGATGTGGAACAAGCCAGCATGCTTCATCCCTGCAAATTTCCTTTCATAGTCTCCTGGAAGGCATATAAGTGTTCCTTTTACTTACAACACTGTCCAGAGATTAAAATTTCCCCCCTGCTTTGGGTGAAGGGTGTTGAATTGGCTCTTACATCACCAGAACTTGGTGCATAAATAATTTTATTTAGAATCAGAAATCTTACCAACATTTAAAATACATTCTGAGTAATATAAAGAGCCTTTCAGAATTAAAAAAGGATAGGAACTGATCTAGTTACAGACTTACAGTGCCATCCTAAACAGAGTTATCCCTTTCTAAGTCAAGTGCTCACAAGGGCGTAATTTACACATGTGACTTGGATGGCACTTGTTAAACTGCTACCAAAAGATCTCACATGTCCTACTTGAGATACTTCAAAGGGCACCTGAAACAGACCCCTAACAGCATAACAATATTTAGCATTTATGTCATGCTCTGGAGTGTTCGATACACATGCATTAACCTCAGAAGTCCTTACAACTACCCTGTGACCTAGGCTGCTCTTACTGAAGGTGGATGCTGAGAGAAAAACCAGGTGTGTAACTTGGTTAGTTTGCAGGTGAAATTGGTATATACTATTGAAATTTGAATGTTATATAATTCATACAAAAATAAAGGTATATAAAGATATTATATTTAATGGATGTTAAGACATGAACCATACAGAGCAATAAGAGCAATGCATTGCACCCAACAATAAACCAGACAGAATAAATTTGTACAAAATGTCAAAATTTTCAAAAAACACTTCTCACTGCCATCCCAATGAATGTGCTATCATTTTTTTTTACTGACGTTTAAGTATTAAACGGTACAAATAATCATACTAAGTTCACTGTGTATAGAGATGACCCTTCAAGCTTGACTAGCTGTGAATGATGACTTAATAACATAGTGAATTTGGTGTGATTTATTGTCAAGCTGGAAGGGTCATCTCTATACATAGTGAACTGAGTGTTATTGTTTGTACTGATTAATACTAAGTGTTGGTAAAGTCATTCTTTGATCAGGATGGCAGTGAGAAGTGTTTTTTGAAAATTTTGACATTTTGTAAAAAATTTATTCCATCTGGTTTATTGTTGGGTGCAATGCATTGCTCTTATTGCTCTGTATGGATTATGTCTTGACAGACATTACATATTATATCTTTATATACCTTTATTTTTGTATGAATTATATAACATTCTCATTTCAATAGTATATACCAATTTTTCCAAATTTATTTACAGTTTAGTACCATTAGTGTGTACACAGTGTTTTGTATGTTTTAGACCGGGGTTCCCTGTGTTATCTGAATTCTAGTTTGTGGATGAGGCAAGATCTGAACCAGGGAAGCTTGCACACTTTCCCACTATGTTACATCAGCAACTTCAAAAAATATTGATGTTATGACAACCTCACTCCTCTTATTTTAAAGCAGGCTCACATTCTGAACCCACAAGGCAGGGCTCAGTCCCCACAGTTTCATTTTGGAGCATGAAATGAATCTACATAACTAAAACCCACAGAACGTTTCTTTAGGTAATGGAAAGTTTTTAAGAGTTCATTCTTTAATCGTAGAGCAATCTAAAACATGGACACATAAAACACTTTTAACATGTGATTCTGCCATTGGTTTAGAGTGAGTTCCAAGAACTGTGTGTCTTACCTTCCCTGCAGTTGCCATGTGTCAGGATTCCTGTCCCAAACTCTTCTGCAAAAGTCTTTTCCTCTTCTCCTTCCCTTTGGCTCTAGCAGGAACACACAGGCACAGTGATACATAAGCCACTCTCCCCCCCCCCCTCACCCCACCCTGCACAACACACTCACAATGTATAAACTATGACAGGCCAGCTGTGGAAGGGGAGGGCCAATCTGCAACTCTGATGAAGCCCATTATTGCCAAAGGTCACCTTTCCAGTTATGTGGATTAAATTAATTTTCCTGAACAAACGGGCATCCAGATTTAATCACTGTCAACAGTCCTGGGTTTTTGTTTTTTTTAAAGTAATTCATTCAGCTAATTGTCTTCCTTATGAACAACTTCTACCTCCTAGGGGGAAAAATCACTCTGATCCAGGCTTTCCTGCTCAGATAATTTAATAGTGCATAATAATCACACTGTGCCTTTATACAAAGGGTAGAGACCAAACAGATTTTCCTGATGTGCATAAAACTGGGTGGACAGAGACTTGTAAAGTCAGAAATTGGAAGAGATGTTACCTACGGTAATAAGTCCCAGAAGAATATCTGTTAAATCCAGATCAGCATTTTATATAGCAATCATATTTGCCTTGGCTACAGCATGCCATGTTGATGTTTCCCACAGTAGATATGTAAACTGTGAACAGTGTGCATAGACACATGCAATAAAAACTCTGGAACATGTACTGGGAAACTGTGATTGATCATGGATCCCACGCCCAGCTATGTGTTCACTGCCCCAAGTCAGTTCACAGCCGAGCAACCTAAGTGACTGTTTGGTGAAGCATAATGGGGGATGGGTGTACTAAGGTCCCACAGCAGGAGTCAGCAACCTTTCACAATTAAAGACCCAAATTAAAAACTTCAGGAAAAGAGATAAAACAAGAGCCAGCATATGAAAACCCCTTTACCTGACTGGAATATACAGTGTAACATTACTGACAGTTGACATATATTAAAGATCCGTGAAGTTTCTGCAGCCCAAACACTGGTTGTGGTGAGGACTTTATTAGAAAGTGCCACACACAAAGCCTCATGCTCAGTGATGAACATACACAGGAGCACCCCACAGAATTGTTTTTAGTGCACCTTGTGTGATGGGTGCTGTATTGTTTTAGTGCACCTTGTATAATGGATGATGAATGGGAGGGGAACTGAGTGAGACTGAGCAGGAAAGCTGGCTGTATCCAGCCCGTGGTCACTTGGATTATTTGCAGCTGTTCACCTTGATAGTTTCCCTCTATGTTGTAAAGCATCTTGAAGAAGCCCTTCACATACTGGTTATCCCAGCAACTCCTCCCCCTCCAATATACCCTAACTTAAAGGTTTTGTTTTCTTGTAGAAAGAAGCTTATGTGATACCATGTCGAGCCACATCTGGCTCTACAGCCCATAGGTTATAGATCACTGTGTCACGTCTTCTTAACTTGCTCCTAGCCATTGGTGATGCTCAGGGGTCTTGTTGTAGAAAAAGAGCTGCCGGAGCTCATTAGCATAACTCATTAGCATAACTTATTTGCATATGCCACGCCCCCTGACATCACCGGAAGTGACAGAAGGCCACACCCCCTGACATCACCGGAAGTGTGTCAGAAGGCCCGGCTACTTACCCTCCTGCTTCATCCTCATTCCCAAACGGAATGAGGATCGAAGCAGAGGGCGGGGTAAAGAAGGGGGCGGGGCTTCACCACGTGACCGCCCCGCCCCCTAGAGGTTCTCTTCCGGAGCTCCGTACCTGAGAGCTCCCCCCCGACTAGAGCCCTGGTGATGCTACTTGATGGGAAGATTCCTTAGCAGTGTGCGTTGCACCTCACATTCCCACACACAGCTTATCTGGAATCTCCAAAACAGTAAGAGACCGGGAAGGGGGGGGGGAGTTAACCCACAACTAACCTCAAAATCAGGAAAGCCAAAAACATGGGGGGGGGGGATTTAAAATATGTGAAAACCAAACTTGAGTTGGTAAAAATCATGTAACTCTAAACAAAATATCTTTTCATAAACATATGAAAGAGTCTCAAAATAATCTTAGCCTGCAAAACACTCCTAGAAGAGGAGGAGATTGGATTTATACCCTGCCCTTGACTACCCGAAAGAGTCTCAGAGCTGCTTATAATCTCCTTTCCCTTCCCATCCCCCCACAACCCTGTGAGGTAGACTGGGCTGTGAGAGCTCTTTTGAGAACTGCTTGTGAGAGAACAACTCTGAAGTAACTTGTAACTAACCCAAGGTCACACCAGCAGTTGCATGTGGAGGAATGGGGAATCAAACCTGGTTCTCCCAGATTAGAGTCTGCGCTCCTAACCACTACAACAAACTGGCTCTTAATGGTAAAACAAAAACAAGTTTTGATAACACTCTTCATCAGAGGTATAATACACAAAATTCTACCACATACTAGAGGTGTGCATTCAGGTATATCTGAGGCAAAAAATTATAACCAGGACAGGTAATCATCTATTTCTAATATGTATACAGTAAATCAATGATTCCAAATGTGATGTCTACCAGTATTTTCTAGTACCCACTTGCTTCTTCCCAAAGGCATCATTTCCTCAAAAAGAAGTGCCATTCCTAGCTTTTCTCCGCTCTATTGGAGCAGGAGGTGCTTCTGAAGAGCCCAGGAAACAAAGAGCACCTGTTTTGTTGGAGAATGCTGGGATTTAAATGTTCCAACATTTTTTGGGGCCTCACAAAATTTTGATTTACTCCCAGCCCTCCACAGCGGCCATTTTGTGACTAGGCCCATCACATGTGGCAGCCATTTTGTGATGGCACTTGTTACCCAAATCAGTTCTCATGTAAGATCTGTCACAATGAGAGCATTCGCTGCACGTGAAAACCCTATGGTTTTCACCACGACATAGGTCGTGGGTACGGTTGATATTTTCCTGCTGAAGGTGGGCAGGAACTCATCCCTGTGGGCCAGGTAAATTTGACAGATTGCAGTCTCTGACATCATTCAGTCTTTGCCTGTCATTCCCTTCACATACTGGTTATTCCAGCAACCCCTCCCCCTCCAACATACTCTAACTTAAATATTTTGCTCCCAGCCCTCCATCGCAGTCTTTGAACTCACAAATGGAAGAGGGAACCTCCACGATTTGATCAATAAAGTGAATCTACAAACCCATTGTTTTTAGTTGCCCATTAGTTGACTCCTGTTTTCTGCTCATCTGATGCTTTTAATCACTTGCCCATAAACTGTTCTATGCTGCTTTTATTGACTGGTGATTATTTATGACTGCTAACATTGGGAAAGTTTTATATTGGAGGGGTTCGCTTTATTGCGTTATTTTTAATTGAATTTTGAATTGTGTTGTTACTGATTTGTTGTTAGCTGTTTCTGGAAGCAGACATTTTCTAAATCAGGGGTCCACACTCCACAACCTTGCAGAGCCTGTGGTGAGAATTGGAAAATTGAGAATGAGTACTGGGCAGTACCAGAAAATGGCTATCACAGGGCTGACCAACCACAAAGTGCCTGCCGTAGGGGCTGGGGTCAATCACAAAATATTGGGAGGTTCCAAGTTAAGCATCTTCCATCCTGTAATGGAACAGCTGTTTCTGGATGAGCCTGCCCTGCAGACACAAATGTGATGCCTCCTGGGCTGCTCTGAATCATCTTTTGCTTCAAAGAGGTGGAGGATAGTGATTGGCTCTTTGCTCTGGGTAAGATATGCTTTTGGGAAGAGGAATGAGAGCACCAAGAAATACATTAGCAGCTTCATGTTGGGGGTTCTTCTCAATATGTCCCACAGAATGCTTCCTTAGACAATGGGAAGTTGACCATAGATGGTTCTCTAGCTGTAGAACAATCCAGTCGTAGCACGGATAACCTTTAATATGAGCTGTTCACATGGATTTCGATAAACACAAGGATAATTTCACTTATGCTATGATTGCCGAGTGTTAGGTTCCTTGACTTAATCTATCCAAACTGGCTTTTCTTGCTCAGTTTGGCAAGATCATCCAAGGTCCTGTGATGTACAAACAACTCGTTCCCCAGGGAACATATAATGTATGATAGGTCAGCTGTTGAAGGGATAAGCCCATTTGCGACTGTGCTTTCTTTACTATAGAAGGTCAGCCTATCCGTGCTTGGCTGAATGAATCTCCTTCTGGAACAAGCATCCCAATTCAGCTACTGCCAAATCTAAACAATTAAAATTAACCGGTTCAGTTACTTTTTTCTGGTTAAGAGTTTGTAGATACTAGCAAGACTTCTGCATATTTATATTCATGCCATACCTATGGAGAGTGTTAGGTTTCACATGTAAGATACAATGTATTGACTATGGCTTGGATCCTATGAACAAGTTCCATGTGCACTAAATCTGGAGATTTGGGGAGGGACTTCAACAGGTTATAATGCCATGGAGTCCACCTTCCAAAGCAGCCATTTTTTCCCCCAGGTGAACTGATCTCTGTCACCTGAAGATCAGTTGTAATCCCAAATCCCCAGCTGCTACCTGGAGGTTGGCAACCATAACACTTCCGCTACCACTGAAACTTCCTTTTGCACAAGATCAATTGTATTCAGTGGGCATTTGCACAAACAGAAGTGTTCGTAAAAGAGAATGTGCACTTTACCACAAAGACTATTTAGTGTGCATGAAACACATTTGAAGGATCCAAGCCCATATCCGTTACAATATACTGAATGGATTAATTTTCTAACTTATTTTAGGATAGCAGGAGGTACAGAAAAGGCCACGTCAGCTGAAAGAAGCTGGGAAGTTGACCATCAGATACTACCACAATTCAGCTCACATCAACTCTTTACTTGGTAGGTTGACTACAGTTAAGGACCAATTAAGATCCTCCTCAAGCCTTGCTCTCTGTGCTCCCACCTTCAGATGTGAAGCAAGAGGCGACCAGAGACAGGGCTTTGTCACTGGTGGTGCCTTGGCTATAGAATGCCCACCCCCCTTCTTTCCCTTTAAAAAATCAACTTAATGAAGAGTTCACAAGAACTCTAAAATTATACACTGTAGTTATTTTGCTTGTTCATCATCAAAAACATGGATTTTTAAAAAGTATTTGTTGTTTCCTTTATAATGTATTTTTCTCCACCTATGGAAAAAAATTACTCATGAACTGGGAACAGCTGGGAATTAATAAGTTTATAAAACTGTCAAATTCATGAGGCTTACAATTAACTGCAAATGAAACTTTTATGTGATTTTCTCCCTGTCCTACATAAAAGCAGCATGGAACCTTTCCAATCATCTGGCTGATGATCTCTCCTCATTGGGTACAAGGGATATTCCCTATATCATGATCCCCCAACGCTTGTGATTTTCTTGTCAGTATTTGAAGTTCAAAAGGTTGTGTTTACAACAACAAAAATATCCTTATGTTGATACATGATCTTATAACTTGCATCACTAAAGAATTAATTAGAATCGTGATCCCAAATGTGGTACCTATTGGATACCTTGGCACATGCCACTGGGCTACCCAGGTACCCTTTTGCTTCTTCCTCAGAGCATCTCTTCCCCAAAGCAAAGAGCCAATCCTGGCATTCCTCTACCTGATTGGAGCAGGAGAACCCACAAACAACTGACTTCATAGGAGGAGGAGGATGCTTAGCTTGCAACTTCCCAACATTTTCTGATTGTCCCCAGCCCCCAATGGCAGCCATTTTGTGGTGATGCCCATTCCCCATTCTCAACATTCTAAAAATGCTCAGGCTCAACAACATTTGGGACTGCTGAATTAGAAGAACAAAGGGCTAATTAAGAGCATGTGCTATCTGCAAAGATAATTAAAGGGATCTTGAGTTTAATTATTTAAGATATTCAAAATATTTCTATGCCATGTCTTCAGAGTCCTGCTCAAGGTGGCTTACTGGATAAACATATGGCGCAGAGGTCCATCAGTGGCTATTAGCCACAAGCTATAGGTAGGAATTCTCGGCCTGGGGCAAGTGATGCTCTGTATTCCTGGTGCTTGGGAGGGCAACAGTGAGAGGGCTTCTAGTGTCCTGGTCCCACTAGTGGACCTCCTGATGGCACCTGATATTTTTGGCCACTGTGTGACAGAGTGCTGGACTGGATGGGCCATTGGCCTGATCCAACATTGGCGTCTCTTATGTTCTTACTGTCAAAACCACATCACAGTATTAAAAACAAGCCATTAGACATCCACAAAACAGAACCAAACCATTAAAAAGCTGGTAAGATCAGTAAAAAGTAAGATCAAATTTCAGTGTAACCCAGAAGACACTGAATGGCTTCCAGCAAGACTCTGTTAGCTCCAATGTGTACTTCAGCAATGCTGTTGGTTTATATTGTAGGGACAGTATAAAGTCACTTAGAGCACGCAAAAAACACACTTCACAAATATCAAGTCATTCGCTGGCATCTTTCTTCCAGAAGGGTAAACAAGGCACGACACAGCACAACCCAACTGGGTCTTGTCCAGCTGGGTTAGATCCAGACTGAACTTTCCAGTGGCAGAATGGAACTTCCCTTCCTTCCTCATCCCACTTGCAGCCAACTAATCTCCATGAAATGCTTTTCCTGAGTGATAAGGAACCCTGAGGAATGGCATGAGGGAGTCTGCAGTAGGAAGGGAGAATTGGTCAAATCTGCCAAGTTAATCTGGATCTGTCCCCCTATGTGGTAATGGTGTGGTATGACAGCTTTAAAGAGGGGGTGGTGGTGGTAAATCCTTCTCCCCCAAGATTTCCTTCCAGGAACTCTTTTAAAAACCATTTTCCACCTATCAGGAGTGAATACCCGTCATGCAGCCCCTCTAATAAAAATAATAATTGGGAGGGGGAGGTTCCTCTCTCGCACAGACTATCCTCCAAAGTCCTGTACACCCGACCTGTAGAGACTGATCAATGGACAGACCACAAGACAGTTTGGCTGGGAAATAGTATACAGTGGCTGGCGGGTCATTTTTAAATGACAGGAGATAATTAAGTTAATAAAGTCACTTTCTTTGCACTAGATTGCAGTGATGTTACAATCACAGACAAATTCTGCACTGCAGATAATATTGGGTGGAAAGCTCTAAAACACTGATCTGCCAGGTCCGCTATGCACCAAGTTGTACTACACCCAAACCCAACCACTGCAGTGCCTTATCGAGGACCCAGTTTGCCTACAAGGGTAGTGGCTCTGAAGACTTTTACAATACAGTTCCTTATAGAGCATTTATTTAACAGCTTCTTATTTACCATAGAGAATGGGGGGGGAAATACCATAATTAATTAATTTGTCATTTCCCAAGAATCATTTCCAGGAACCAGGCTTTCATACCTGCAAAATGGGAATTATGCTTTTGTGCCATAGGAGGATGCCAGAGTTTATTTCACATGTTCCAAATTCCCATGCTCGAGAGGTTTCCAACAGAACCAGATGGCTCTAAACAACTGATTCCAAGTGGTTTTGTTTTTTTGCATTTTGTGTGTGCGCGCCCATGCCTGGACATCATGGCGACCCCTACTGGGGCATGGAGGACATCCAGAGAAGTGGCTTGATAGCCTGCCTCTGCCTCCCGGCCTTGGTATTATTTGGAGGTCTCCCATCCAAATACTTGCCAGGGTCGGCCCTGCTTAGCTTCTGAGATCTGATAAGATCGGGCTTGCCTGGGCTATCCAGTTCAAGGCACTGATCCCAAGTTATTGCTGTTCACCAGAAAGTTTGGGCATTATAAAAAAGCAGGGAGTGGGATCTCTCTCAGGACACAGGAATGAACAGTTTTGGTTTTTCCAAAGAAAGAATTACCCAGAACAATTCCCAAAGAGGCAGCAGACAGCTGTGAAGTGTTTACTTATATGCCATGCGCAAATCTGTCAACCAAATATGTACATAAGCAGTGAAACAAAAATATGCCTGATTCTAAGATAAGCACCAGTGATTCCCCAAGACACTCGTATAATTTTATATAAACTTTCCGTTGGCTGGTATTATTCCTCTCTGTGTTCATTCGAAATTCCCATTTGTGAGGCTCATTTCTCAGCATTCAAGGCTTGACTTGGAATTTTTAAGCATCTGGAGATAAGTAAAACCAGCTCTCGATGCTATTGAGAAAAAGAATTGGAATGTCGGCGTTCTTCAGGAGACACTTCAGGCCAAAAGCACCTATACAGCAGCCTAAAACAGCAGGACAATGCGGATACTGAAAGAGAAAAACCAGAGTTAACATTACAGTTTCTGTGGCAGGAAAAAAAAATTGAAACAATAACCTCACTTTAGGATGCTCATCCCATTATTTTATTTTCAAAACACTGCCAAAACTTTGGAACGCTGGGGAGGGAGACTCCCAGTAGAAAACCTGAACGTTCTTGGGACATATTCCAAGGCCCTGCAGTTAGAACAGCATTTACATTCTTTTGCTATCCAACTGGTTTTGGAAGAACCATGGTAAAGCACCTCGCGTTATGGGGCTAGATGCTATATTCAGCCCGTGTTTATACCCTGGGGCCTGGATGGCCCAGGCTAGCTTGATCTCATCAGATCTTGGATGCTAAGCAGGGCTGACCTCGGTTCATACTTGAATGGGAGACCATCAAGAAAGTCCAGGGTTGCTATGCAGAGGCAGGCAATCGCACACCATCTTCGATTGTCTCTTGCCTTGAAAACCCTACCTACAGGGTTGCCACTGGCTGCGGCTTGACGAGACTTTCCACCACCAGGTGGTTGAAGGCACCCGAACTTTAGCTTACAAGCAGCTACCCCAATGCATATCAGCCACCACTATTTGGTCAAAGTGTGCCAGGAAAGAACACCCCCCCCCCCGATCTAAGCATATGCAGAATCACCTGGCTATTTTAGAGTTAATGCTGAAGGAGAACTGCACGTGATTAATTTGTATAGCTCACTGCCACAGGAAGCAGGAGGCTTTAAAAAGGGCATTTGCCAGATCAATGGAGGATAGGGTCCATCAGTGGCTCTCAGCCACACTGGATGAATGGAACCTCCATGATCAGAGGCAGGGAGCTTCTGAGTGTCAGCTGCTGAGGGGCCATTATCGGTAGGAGGCTCTGGACTAGGTTCCCCGGCTGTAGGCCTTCCCTGGTATCTGGTGGGCCACTGTGGGAAACAGAATCCCAGTGGACCATTGGTCTGATTTAGCAAGACTCTTCTGTTCTTATGAAAAAGAATCCATTGGACATGTGTGAAGATGCATGTCTGCGCAACAATGACGCCTTGCGTAAGATGTTGCAAGCCGTTTGCTAGACAGATGCCACCTTCAAAACACCTTGTCCTTGTTCTTGTCTAGATGCCGCAGGTTGATCTGTTACAGGCACCTACGACATGGAAAGCCCTGAAGGAGAGGGCCTTTTCCATCTCTTAAACACTTAGTGATGCTAACCCCCCACCCCCAAAGAGGGATTTTGTTCTGTATGTGACAATGTGATCGTGCAAAAGGATACAGTCAGCACCTGCCCGTTCATGGGCATTCTCTGTGGTAGCTTCCACCTTGTGGAACAGCCCTGCCGAAGGTGAGCAGGAAGCCCAATCCCCTCTTTGCAGAATGTGCAAAGGAGAAATGTTCAGGAGGGCATTTTAAAGGGATTAGAACCATAATATAATGGAACAGCTCAGGACATTGCTTCTGTAAGGGATAGTAATGTAGTCTATTGCATGGTTTTATTATATATATCACTTCCCTTGCTACTGGAATGTCCTCTATCTTTCTAACCCTTCTTCGTCATGCCTCAGACAGCTTTTGTTGCATTGTTTTCCAGTTCTGTAATTGGAGTCCTGCTGCACTGTTGATTAGAGGTTTTTGCTGTTTGGTGATTGCTTTTCATATCTGTAACACACCTTGAGTCTCAGTGAGACAGCTGGGCTATACAGGAACAATAAACATTGATCAAGATGGGTAGCCATGTTAGTCTGTCCGTAGCAGTAGAAAAGAGCAAGAGTCCAGTTGGACTTCAGGTATCTGAAGAAGTAAGTGGCGACTAACAAAAGCTCCTACCCTGCCACAAATGTTGCTAGTCTTTAAGGTGCTACTGGACTCTTGCTCTTTTCTACTAGTAAAGACTGAAATCAAGACTTTACTGAAATGAGTCTGGTTAGCACAGCCTTAGAGACTGCAGTCTTGTACCAAAGCAAGTGGTGTTTTAGTTCAACAGCTGCATCTATCTCGTATTCTCTTAGACATACTGGATTCCACACCAAACTTCCACTCATTAAGAGTACCAACATATAATGGATTCCACAATGAATCTGCATTCATTAAAAGCAAGTACCAACGAGCTGGAAATCTCACCTCTTACCAGCACGAAGCAAATTAAACCCTTCGTCAATCTCGCTGAATGACAAAGTGTGTGTAATTAAAACATCTGTTTTCAGTTTTCCCTCCAAGTAACTGGACACCAATTGAGGAATGGAATCTTTCATCTTCCAGCCTGGGAATAGAGAAAACAAAACCCCTAAACCCTGCAACTTGTACTGTCAAGTTTGTTTCCCAAGGATCGCTTTTACAAAATCGCAAAGGCAGCCTAACGTGGAACTTGTGGGATTTACTTTTGTAAGCACACTGGGCTGGATCCTAAGATGCCGCCCCATCAGCCCCACAGAAGTCCTTCAGATGGAACGGCATTTTGGTTTGCAGAGGAGAGTGGTTTTTGCCGATTCCCCGCTCCTGCTGCAGACTCCCACTTGGCCCCCAACATGGTTTGGGTGGGGGGGAGGACTGAGCTGCAAGAGTACAGTTTTCGGGGGAAGAAAAGGCTGCCATGGAAGGAGAGAGGCAGGGAAGTTGCTCTCCTCAAGAGTGACTGTGTTTGTACTACTTAGGATCCTATGCTAATAAAGCAGGGTGAGATAATTTCAAAGCACGCATGTTGCTAAGTATATGCACTGTTAAGTTCTTTAAGCATTACTTTGCTTCCTACTCATTTATGTCATAATTTGGTTGCTTAATGTTTCGAAGTGGAATGTGGGAAATGCTGACAAGACAGACGGTGTGGGCTAGAAGTGAATAAATAACTAAATATTGAGCACATCTGAAGACATGAGGCTGCCACAATGAATCACACCATTGGTCCATCAAAGTCAGTCATTGTTTATTCAGACTAGCAGCGGGTCTCCAGGATCACAAGTGGAAGTCTTGCCACCTGAGCCTTTAAATTGGAGATGTCGGGAACCAAACCTGGGACCTTCTGCATGCCAAACTGAGGCTCTATCACTGAGCCACAGACCCTCCCACTATTGCATCTAAGATATCCAAACAGCACAACTGTTCTGCCTGCGATGTTTGATCTGTGATGGCTGTTTCTTACAACAGAGTCATTAAAAAAACAAATGGAACACTCATGTGGAAACTCGTCTGTCTGACCCTCCAAGGAGTAAACACAGATTTCAAACCACTTTTATCTGGACACCATAAATCAGTGAGACACAGAAGGAAACTAATTCCAGCATCACCAGTTATGAATAAGCACTGTATGTGTGACATGTGCTAGCTGCACAAACCCAGCAGCATCATAACCATATGAAACAAACTCCTGCAGCCGAACAGGATTTCTTCTGCTTTAGCATGCGTGGTCTGCCCTGCAATATGTTGAATGTTGTGGTTCAGCCCCCTCTTCCTGCCCTTGATCTCTAAACCATCAAAACATAGCAAATACATAAATATATGGCCACACATCAAAGCAGTGTGATGTGCAATACCCAGTTTGTAAGCATTCCTGTTTATGTTTGACTATAATGACCATAATTTTGTATTCCTGAACATGGAAGTTGTTCATTCAGTGCTGACAGAACTGTAAATACTCATCTTCATACCTCCAATGAAGCTCCCTTTCAACGTGCGTCCCGTAAAAAGCAGCAAAGGATCGAAGGAGAGGCGCGAGTCCAGAGGAGGGACGCCAACCATCACGCAGACCCCACAGCTCATGTGACAGGATGCCAGAGCAGCTGTCTAATTGAATGCGTCAATTATTTACTATTAAATAGGTCGCTGTCATGCAAAGGAACAGTTTTGTGACACCAAGGATGCCTGGCACAGCAGCTCTGAAGAAGTGGGAAAGAGATGGACCCACGAGAGATGGAAGTTTTCTGCAGTCCAGATCCACATCTGCTATCCCACTCAAGTTCCTCACTGTCCACAACGCAGGTGGCAACCAATGTTTGGCCATTCTGGGCTACTTTACTTGGGTATTTCTAGGTCCCATTTCCTGACTAATGTGGACTCAAGGCTGGTTACATAAACACAACTATACAGCTGGCATTGTAGGGATTAGCAGGCTGATATCCCAGCCTAGCCCAATTTCATCAGAGCATGTAAGCTAAACTGGGTGATTCAGCCATGGTTAGTATCTGGATGGGAGATAACCAAGAAGATGCTACAGAGGAAGGGAATGGTAAACCACCTTTGCCCGTCTCTTGCCTTGAACATCCCACGGCTCTGGGGTTGCCACAAGTCAGATGCGACTTGATGGCACAATTATTATTATTGTAGGTATTAAGCCACAAACAATCCCCGCAAGAACCTGTGTCTTCACTGTACCCACTTTGTGTTTGGCACTTTTGATTAGCTTGGAAGGGCTGTGGATTTTTGTTTTAAGTCATTGTTTAGAATGTTTTTGTCAGGGTAGGCCTGAGAGATTGCTTTTAGGCTCATGTGTAAAAATTTGCAAACATCCACTTTTTCACTGTTCTAGCTAATTTACAGTTTTCAGCCTTGAAGGATGAATAAATGACTTATGCACTTATGGATAAGGGGCTTTCTGCACAGAATAAATCCCAGAAAAAGTAGAATACCGTTTGCAACAATGGGATGCTCAGAGGTGTGGTACATCATGCCTTTAGAGAGCATGAATCAGAAGGTCTAGTAAAACCATGTGCTGGCCTATGCAATAGCTTCTACATAAACTGGCCCCAACTTATCATCTCTGGATCTCTGAAACTTGGAATTCAGTGATATCTGTTTTCCTCTTTTTTAGTAAGGCTCTGAGTAAGAAGCTCTGAAACTTAACCTTTTTTTTGTAAAAGTCAGTTTACACAGAATATGAATTACATATATGCTTGAACAGGATTGATTTCTGTGGGGTACTCCAGTGTTTTCTCTATTCAGTGTTATATTTACTCAGATCTAGAGTGATTGGATTATTTATAAACAAAAGTCTGAATTAACACATTGACCTCATTGACTGGAAACACAGGGTTTCACTTTGAACAAATAAATAAACCTCAATATCTCCCTTTGAGACTGAGGGCTGTGCTCAGCACAGATGGAGTTTTTAAAGGGAGCATTCAGTTACCGAGCAGCACTGTGATTTAGTGGCTAATGTATTGCTCTGACTCAGTCAAGGAGATGTTAACTTCCACGTTATTGTTTAAAGTGAAGCCCCCTCGCAGCTGAAATCAGAAGTGCTGATTTCAGACCACAGGTAGGTTCCACCTGGACGTGTCCTAAGGCTGAAGCCTGAAGTACATTTATTTTGTAAGGAGATCCTCTGAAAGCATTGGGACATTGTCAAATTAAGTGAGTTTAGGATCAGGCTGAAAAAATATTTACATGGCAACCAGTGTTCCCTCTAAGCTGAGTTAGTGTGAGCTAGCTCACAGTTTTTTATCCTCCGGCTCACACATTTTTGTCTTTGTTCAGGAAGGAGGGCTCCAGGACAAACTAATTTATGCAGTAGCCAAATCACCTGCTCACAACTTTAGTGCCAGTAGCTCACAAAGCAGAATTTTTGCTCACAAGACTCCACAGCTTAGAGGGAAAATTGATTGGCAACCCCCAGTGAACATGGGCTGGATCCCACCAACGTTTCTGCTGACACAAGGAGAAAACATGGTACCTTTTGATCCCTGCAAAGGCTATTCAAGGGAACCATGTGGACAGAAAGCCACAGGAGACGGAGTTGCAGCAGGGAGAGGAATCAGGCAAGATCACCTGTCCTCCCCCTCGTACTGGTGGGAATGCTGGCAGGATCTAGCCCTATGATCTGATTGTTAAGTTTCAAGAGGACCCATTGTAAACTGAAAGACTGCTACTAAGCAATATTTGATCTATACTTAATGAAAGAATGTGAATTTACATATATAATAGGAGATGCCAGCCGTTGAGAAAACAAGTCAGTATGGAGCGATGGGAAAAGTGCCGGGTATGGAGATAGGAAAGGAGGGGAGATTTATGTGGACAGCAAAGCAGCTCACATTATCTGGCGTTGGGCACTTCTCTTTCACTTAACTGATTCCAGGGCTGCTGTGAGGTAGGATTTCTTAGAAGAAGAGTGAATAAAGCAAATAAACACTTTTGCAAAGTCATGTGAATCTTGAACATACTTCAGTCAGTAATCAAATTGTTCTGGGGGATCCCCAGCAAGCCAAACAGTGTCCCTCGATAAGAACACACCATGAAAGGTGTACAAACTTTCCTGAACAAGTGCTTGCTCACCACTACTGATCTTCCCCTGCAGCAGGCAGCCAAAAAAAAAGGGTTGAATCCTGCCAATCATTCTGTTCTCAGGGGTGCCCTGTCCCCCAGGGACAACATTTGGGGATACAGAGGTAGAAAAGTCACGCTTCATTGATGGAAATCAATATATTAGCAAAGATTTTTGGTGAGCTCCAAACTGGGTGTCAGACATGTTCTAGTGGCCATCTATGTAAGCCAATGATAAAGCCCAACAGGCCTTGTCAGTGTCCAAACTGAATGTTGTACACCTCCACAACAGGTAGGGTTACCATAGTAGACATGTAGAGGTTACTTGGCAAACAAATCCACATGAAAGTGGTTGCCAGAAAGGCAAGGGAGAAAGGGAACAAATCGTTCTACAGTACTTTGGTTCCAAGAAAATACGATATCAAATCAGTGGGTTGGATCAGGCCAGCTTTTTCATTCACTTAGATCCTATCCCGCATGGCTACTGTGCATGCATGTTCTATGATCCTCAGTACAGCATTTCTGATGGTCATAGGAGGCTCCTTCCTTTTTTCACCTGCAGAAAACCTGGTTGGATCCAGCCCAGTGAGCGGAGCCAGAAATCATTGACTGAAACACAGCACATACCAACGTGTTTAAGCATCCCACAACTTCGAAGGCGTAGTCAACACCATGGCCGGTCATTTCAACCAGCACCTCCTGAATGGGCTTCTTGTAATCCTGAGGGTCCAGGCATTCTGTGGCTCCAAGTTCCTTAGCCTTTCCGAATTTCTCCTTGTTGATATCAATCCCAATAATCCGAGACGCTCCTGCTGCTTGGCATCCCATGACAACAGAAAGACCAACTCCTCCCAAGCCAAAGATGGCACAGGTAGACCCAGGTGTGACCTACACAGGGGATCAGGGAAAAAGGGGATCAGGTTAAATTCTAACCACAGCACGTCACACTGTAACCCACACAGGAAGCATTGCATTGAGGGAAATGAATAGACTACCATGAAACACTCAAGGAGCAAATGACTTCTCACCTGAGCTGTGTTGATAGCTGCCCCATAACCTGTGGAAAAGCCACAGCCGAAGAGACACACTTTATCCAGCGGGGCAGCATCGTCGATTCTAACCACGGCTGAGTCAGGCATGACTGTGTATTCCGAGAAGGTGCTTATCCAAAGGAAGTGATGGATTTGCTTCCCTTTGCAGGTGAACCTGCTGGTTTTGTCTGGCATCAGGTTTTGCGGGTTGCAAAGGCTGTTTTAGAGAGACCTCAGCTCATCAACAAGAGGAAAAAACCAGGCAGTGCATCACCAAGAGAAATGCAAGAGAAACTTCCATACAAACTCACTGGGTTTTCAGGCAACAGTTGGTGTTCCATTTCAGACATGAGTTACATTCTCCGCACTGAGGCAGACAGAGGGGGATCACTTTGTCTCCTGGAAATAAAAGCAGGGGAGAGGGCTAGAAGTGTCTGATGACAAGAACTTATTGTACAGGAATTTTTATATGGGAGAGACATCACACATGGACTTTTCCTCGGGCTTCCAGAGTGGCAAAGCAGACTTTTCAATGCTCCTTAAGAATGAATTGGGTATTTATTGCTCCTTATTGTATCTTGGGTTTACCTACATATTTCATACTAGTACACACAGAGTTAGGTCTATTTAGCATTTATAACCTTTGTTTTTTGCCTGACCTATTAATTGGAACATATATCCTACGTACTATTGCAGGCATCCCACTGTTCTTAAGGTGTATTCACTCCTGTTTACAAATTTACAGAACCTTAAAGTTCTCTTTGTTCAACTGTTTCTTTCTTCCTATTGCACACATATGGTATCATTGTTTATTGCAAAACATTTGTTGCTCTATTTCAACTAAAATGTAAAAAATGTTCTTATACAGTATTTTCTGTATTGTTGCACGTTCTTTCAAATAAAAAATACAAAAAAAAGAATGAATTGGGGAGGGGGGATGAAAGGAATAGAAGCATGAGACAGCAACCTGTTATCATGCAACATGTCATGTTGTGCACAAAGTTGAGCTATAACACAATCATCCAGAAAAAAAGCAAGTGTTCCACTCTGTATACCTTGTTCCAAGCAAAAAGTGTCAACCTTCAGGTTATTTGTACTAACAGAAAGCTGAAGTATGAATATATAAAAAGGTAAAGAGAGATGAAAATGTGTAGTCCAACTAGATTCTGAATAGCAAACTTTCCTATCTGCTGTCCACTTCAACACAAGCAAATAAGGAACCAAGCACAGACTTCTGCTGGATTGTATGTATGTTTGAACACTGCCCTTCTTAACAAAAACCCAAAAACCTCATTGCATGTAGAGAATTAATGTGTCAGGGAAAGCAGGTCAACTTAAGTCCCTCCATGACATGCTCCTTTGCTAAGTACAAGGAGCACTTTGTCATGACTGAGCATTCAATTCTTTCCTCCAAGACAGAAAACGTCTTTCACACACCCATCTAGGCTGCTCCCAGAAGGCCAACAAGGAAGGCACAGAGACCCAGGCCTTCTCCTATTGTTGCACTGGGATTCACTGAGTTACTGCCTCTGAACATGGAGGTTCCATTAAGTCACCACAGGTAACAGCCACTTATGGACCTTTCCTCCATGAATTGTCTAATTCTCTATTTCAAAATGATTTAAATACTGGCCATCGCTACATCCCATGAGAGTAAACTCCACAAGTTAATTACAGTTTGACTGTACTTCCTTTCCCCCGTCCTTAATTTTCTAACCATCATCTTCACTGGGTGTTCCTATTCTGAAGGGAGAGAAAATGTTTACAGAAAAGATGACTAAGGGAAGATTTGATTGAGGATGGCATGGAGAAAGCAGAGAGAGGGGAGAAGTTCTCTCTCTCTCCCCTTCTTTCTTCAAATCTTCCATCAGTCATCTTTTCTGCAAACTATAAAAAGCCCCAGATCACTTAACCTACTACAGGGAAGGGTGTAGAACTTCAACTGAAATTGCTCAGATTCAACGGACTAATACTGCCAGTATGATACAACTAATGCTGGCAGGGGTTATTTCTTGTAGGAGCCAACTGCAGAGTCAACTACAGACCACCTGGAACTTAAACTTAAAGCACTTTATTATTATAAATGGTATATTACTGACTGTATTTTGTGATCTTATTGGATTTTAATGTATTTTATGTTGGGCTTTTGCCCCTGTAAGCCGCCCTGAGCCCGCTTGCGGGGTAGGGCGGGGTAGAAATACCTTAATAAATAAATAAATAAATAAAATGTAATGCCAGATACTGCAGGTATAAACTTTATAAAGGACACAGGAAAACCCAATTGACGATGCTATTTTAAAATTCAAAATACAAACAAAAGCAATTGATTCCTAGCAGTAAGCTGCAATAAATGTATTTAATCATATGCAAGACTAGGTCTTTTCCAAGGGATACCATAAAAAGGGGAGTACCTTATATTTCCATTCAGGCCAGTTGCTTGCCGGCCGGGCAAGAGCCCTGGACAGGCCTGTTCCGGCCCCGGGGACTTATGTTTGACACCTCTGCCCTAGATCATAAACAACAAACTGGAATACAAAAGAGGAACTGGGAAACTCTGTCTTATAACTGTGCATGACCTTCTCATGGCAATCACTTACCCCTGGGGATCCTTAAATACATTTTAAAATAGTGAATCCTACTTTTTACATACCTGGTTTCACACAAGTCACTCCCTCACCGATACTCTCCACAATTCCAGCTCCTTCATGGCCAGGAATAACAGGATACTCTACTTTAGGGAAAGAGCCAGTTAGAACGTGCTCATCTGTGCCACATATCCCTGTGGCTATTATCTGTAAGGAAGCGAAAACACTGGGTCAGCCTCACAAATGATCACTTACATGTGCCCTGGTACTAGGGGAAGGCGGCTTATTGCCTGTGCTGATGCAGGCAATCCTCTGGAATCATGAGGGATAATAACTTATGGAGAGGGGCCATGACTCAGTGGTAAAGCACATGTTTTGCATGCAGAAGATCCGAGGGTCAATGCCTAGCCTCTCCAGTCAAAGGATCTCCAATAGAGATTGAGAAAGATCTTCCTCTGTCCAAGCCTTGCTGCCAGTCGAAGCAGACCATACTGAGACAGATGGACCAATGGTCTGAAAGACAGCTTAACATATAATATGGAAGGGAGGGAGAGGGATGGACCACGAAGGACATGTATGAGTCTTTAATGCAGCGCACTACCTGTCTTCTCCACAGGGATAAGTACAATCATCCCAGTCAAATATGCATAAGACTCTGAACCCCCTTCCATCATTATCAGCACATTTGGCTGACATGAGAAAGAGAGCCAGAACTGCTGCATCTTTTAATCCTCTAAGGATAAAAGCAGTTTCCTTGCTAGTCTTGCAGTGAGTTTGAAAACAAAACCAAAAGGTTCCCCCCCCCCCCCTGTAGTGATTCCTGGTAGTTTAGACCCTTATGCCCAGGTCCAACTCAAGTCATAGACCTAACAATGTATTTATAAGTGACAAAGGACACCAGGTTTTGGAGATGCATTGAAATGCACACGCCATTGAAAGTGCTGGATGTGGATACAGAGACACCGTACTTGGATATACTTGTGCACATTCGAATATGCATCTCTTCCTGACCCAGCAAGAGAAACACGTAAGATAACCTGTTTATGGGCATGGAAACCACATTAACCTTGATTCATGCCTTTATAACAATCCAGGCTGCATATGGAATGCTGTGTAGTTCTGGGTGTCCCACATTAAAAAGGGAATTAGAAAGATTCATAAAGGGGCAGGGGCAAATGTAAAGATATTGGAGAACTCAGATGGAAAAGGTAACATAGTTGGGACATGTCGTTGGGAAATAAAAAGACAACAAGAGAGTTTTATAGAAAGCAGACAGAGAGTTCTTTCTCCTTCTCTTGTAATATAAGAATGTGCAATCATCCAAATAAATTATTGGCAATAGATCTAAGACAAAAATATTTTTTCTCCCCACACAATTTGTTTCGGAGTTTGCCGCCACAAAATTGCATAGTGTCAACCAGTCCCAGTAAAAGGGGATAGGACTGCCTTCCTGGAAGATGGGCGCATAATGGCTACGTGGAACACCTGTGTTTAGAGGCAATATGCCACTGAATATCAGCTGCTGAGGGGAAGCAAAGACAATAGCCTTCTTGCCCAATTTACAGACTTTTCAGAGGGATCCAATTGGCCACTGCTGGAAACAGGAAGCTGGGCTAGAGACACCTTTGATCTGACCTTGCAGCACTCTTTTGATGATCTCCTTAGCTGGATTGTGAGTCAAGGTTCACTGCACAACTCTTTGAACTGCCGTGCTTTTGTATGAAGTACCACAGAACCATAGATTTGGAAGGGGCTGTATAGGCCGTCTAGTTCAACTGCCTGCTCAATGCAGGATCAGCCTAAAGCATCCCTGACAAGTGGTTGTCCAGCTACTGCTTGGATACTGCCAGTAAGGGGGAGCTCACCACCTCCCTACGCAGCTGATTCCACTGCTGAACTACTCGTAGTGTAAACATTTTTTCCCTAATATCCAGCTGGTACCTTTCCACCTGTGATTTAAACCCAATATTGCGAGTCCTATCCTCTGCTGCCAATAGGAACATCTCCCTGTCCTCCTCTAAGTGACAGCCCTTCAGATACTTAGAGAGAGAGCAATCATCCCCCCCCCCCCCTCCTCCTCTCTAGACTGAACATTCCCAAGTCTCTCAGCGTTTTCTTGTAGGGCTTGGTCTGCAGGTCACTGGTCATCTTTGTCACTCTCTTCTGCACCCGCTACATTCTGTCCCGCCTACTCTCCTCCTTCACAAAGATTCAAAACATAACATTCAATACAGAATTTCCAATCCCATCGCCAAGGAGGAAAGAGCCAAAACTTTGATCAAATTAACATGCATGCAATCAAGCATAAGACTTTGACATCATTTTAAGATTATGATATGAAAACAATACAGGCCGAGTTACAGAAGAGTATCATTGTTACATAAGACAGAAAACACCCCAGGCATCAAAACAGAACATTCCTGAGGGACCAGCTTTAATCTCCCAACAATTTGATAGTTAAAGGCAGAACTAGTGATAAGCTTGATGCTGAGTTGCAGCCAACAAAAGCAATCCTATATTCCAGATTCTGACCTCCTCTTCCTCTAAAAACTCTTGTCATTTCTATGCATTTGTTTATCCCTTGCAGCCATTGATGTGGCATGACACCAAAGAAACTTATAACATCAGTACCTGGGCAAACCAACCCACGCAGGTATGAGCTTTACGGAATGTAGCAAAATGGTTAAGAGCAACATATAGATCAGGAAGTCCCTGGATTTTTTTTGCATGCAATTGGTCCCAGGTTCAATCATCAGACTCTTCAGTTACGACAGTAGGGGATATGAAAGATCTCTGCCCGAGACCCTGGAGAGCTGCTGCCAACTGAGTAGAAAATACTGACCTTGACAGATCCAGGATCTGACTCAACATAAGGCAGCCTCATGTGAGGATTATCATTTTGGCAGCAGCCACATGCTTTTTGTTTGGCTTGGTTTCCTTAATTTCCAAGTTGGAATGTAGACTGAAACCCTACATAGCTGTTTCCCTTCTTTTAGACTCCCACCCTTGCGTGTATAATAAAATCTAGGACAGCTCCTTTCACAAGCTGCTTGAACAACTGAAAGATAAATGCAAGACATATCTATTTAAAAAAGCACACAGCTGAAGCACACATGGACAGCGGCAGCAAACTCTTGTTTACCTTCACCCGGACTTCATGAGACTTTGGCGGGGCCACTTCCACCTCTTCAATGGAAAGTGGCTTGCCTATTTCCCAGGCAATGGCAGCTTTGCACTTTATAATCTGTTTTCGGAGAAAAAGAAATGTTCAGCCTTTTTCTGTGACCTTCCGTGCAAATTGAAATGTAGCCTTTCACCCAAGTACAAACCAGGGGGGCTGACTCTGCTTAGCTTCCGAGACTGGGCCTGGGCCACTCCACAGCAGCTATTTAGGAAACTTCAGTCTATGGCTGCTGTTCTGAAACAGTGGCACAGCATGAAGTTTATTCGAATGTGCAGCGGGTCACGTTTTGCACAGTGGGAAACATTTGTCAATGGGTACTAAGTTACTGGAGCTGCGGTGGCTCAAGTGGTTAAGACGATGAACTGCAGGCTGTGGAAGGTCAGTAGTTCAGCAGTTCAAGACCCGAGTGTGCCGCATGACGGAGTGAGCTCCCGTCTCTGGTTCCAGCTCCTGCCAACCTAGCAGTTCGAAAGCAAGAAATTGCAAGTAGATAAATAGGTACCACTTCGGTGGGAAGGTAACAGCATTCCGTGCGCCTTGGTGTTTAGTCATGCCGGCCACATGACCACAGAAATGTCTTCGGACAGCGCTGGCTCTTCAGCTTTGAAATGGAGATGAACACCGCAGCCCTAGAGTCGGACTCGACTGGCTTTCGAGCAAGGGAACCTTTACCTTTACCTTTTTACTAAGTTATTGTGCCATTGAGCATATAGGATTATAAAGAAAAGAGTCCAGAGAATGAAAAGGAAATAGAAAAGGAAGGTGAACACTATATTTCCTTCTTTCTGGTTATAAAATGTTCCACTATATGGATGCAGCAATGCCTCTTCGGGTGTGTGTAGGCATGTGCAAAGTGCCGCTGAGTCACAGTTGATGTGGCAACTCCATAGAGTTTACAAGGCAAGAGATGAACAGAGGTGGTTTGTCATTGCCTTTCTTTGCATAGCAACCCTGGACTTCCTTGGTGGTCTCCTATCCAAATGCTGACCAGGGCTAACCTTGCTTAGCTTCCAAGATACGCTGAGAATTTTTTAATTTATCAAATTTATATCCTACCCCGTCTCCCCTGAACAGGAGTCGGGGCAGCTAACAGCATGTAAAATGTACCAATAAAAACGATACAAAGATACAATAAATAACATTTGAAATAGAAAACAGTTAAAAATCTATCCCCATTAAAATCTATCCGCTATCAAGCAGGCTAGGAAGCATGGATGGTTAAGACACAGCTGGAGAAGAAGAGATTGGATTTATGCCCCACCCTTCACTACCAGAAGGCGTCTCAGAGCAGTTTACAATATCCTTTCCTTTCTTTTCCCTTCCCTTCCCCACAGACACCCTGTGAGGTAGGTGGGGCTGAGAGAGCTCTTTCAAGAAGAGCTCTGAGAGAGCCATGACTGACCCAAGGTGACATCAGCAGCTGCATGTGGAGGAGTGGGGAATCAAACCCAGATTAGAGTCCACGCTCCTAATCACTATACCAAACTGGCTCTCAAGTATACCAGCTGCCTGGTGGATCACAATCACCCAAAGGCCACCTGAAAAAGAGATTGGGCTAGCTTTGGCCATCCCGGTCAAGTCATTTGGGCATTATAATGGAAAAGAACAATAAACCCCACCAAAGCAGTTCTTCAGGTCCCCAAGGCCATTTCTGAAGAAGTGGGTTGGTTCATGTGGCGTCCCAAGCACTGACACTGCATGGAAAGGTTGAGACATTTCACAAAACTGGAGAAAATGTAGCATGGTTTGAATGCAGACCGGAACTTCACAACGTGAGCCACCACACCTAATGCGAACCACCAAACCAGGCAATAAGCATCTGGCAATTCTATTTCCACTGGGGCTGCAACCTCCAGGAGGGAGTTGGTGATCTCCTGGAATTACAACATCTCTAGACAACAGAAATCAGCTCCCCCTGGAAAAAAAATGGGTGCTTTGGAGGGTGGCCTCTATGGCATTATACCCTGAAGAGGTCCCTCCCCTCTCAAATTCCACCCCCCCCCCCGGGCTCCACCCGCAAATTTCCAGGCCTTTCCCAACCCAGATTTGGCAACCCTATTACCATATCATGAATTAGTACGTCAGGTAGATTCAGGTAGGTAGCCGTGTTGGCCTGAAGCAACAGAACAAAGTTTAAGTCCAGTGGCACCTTTAAGACCAACAAAGTTTAATTCTGGGTATAAGCTTTCGTGTGCATGCACACTTCAGAAGAAAGCCACTGGACTCAAACTTTGTTCTAGTTAGTACCAGTGTTCCCTCAGCTGAGTTCGTGTGAGCTTAGCTCACAGTTTTTTAGCCTCCAGCTCACACATTTTTGTCTTAGCTCAGGAAGGGGGGCTCCAGAGCAAACTAATTCATGTAGCAGCCAAATCACTCACTCACAACTTTAATGCCAGGAGCTCACAAAGTAGAATTTTTGCTCACAGGACTCCACAGCTTAGAGGGAGCATTGGTTAGTACCTAAGGTGTTCAGCTCTACTCTACCTTTCAGCCCACAATTCAGAAGATCTAGGAGCTCATTTTCCTGGGCGGAAGCCCCATTCGATAACACTGGACATCTGAACATATTTGCTAGGATTGCTTCCTATGTTTTTTTATTCCTTGGGAAACATAGGTAGCTTCATATTTGTCTCTCTATGTGTATTTAAAGCCAATGAGTTGGAAGTACCTATCCCCCTCCATGACACCCAGTCTTGGGAAGCATTCAAGACTTAAAACATTTGCAAGTCCAAAAACCATGCAGTATGCTGTGAGTTGACGGCACTTTCCACCACCACGCATTCTTTAGTCGACTTGTTTACTTAGGATTAAATCACAATATAGTCAGTGGGCTTTACTCACAGGCAAGCATGCTCACGAATTATCGTCACTTATTCCGCAATACACGTGAGGGAGCGGACTGGAGCTTTAAGGGGATAACTTTTAAATTACTGCATCACCATAGAGACTAATTTCCTCTTACTTTGCCAGAAGTACCCATGCTTGCTTAATATTTTCCCCACACGAATGATTTGGAGATCTGTCCCGATTTCGGCTTCGGAACGGGAAAGAAAACAACGGCTGGTTCTAATCAGCAGTTCAATGAATCGCACTCTCAGCCCCGAAATTCCTCTACAGCAAAAGCGTCGGTGAATAGAACTGCACGGCTGACCGTAGCCTGGCCGCGAGGGATTCTGGGGAATGTAGTCGATTACTTTGCCCTGCGAACGCACGTCCTGATTTGGCGTCAAGCTTCCTGAATAAGAAAGCAGATTTGCTCAGCTGGTTGGAAGAGATTTCTTTCTTACTTTAGAGATATTTATAGCTCACTTTTCTCTTAATGCACAACCCAAACGTCTAACAACATTGTTGTCCTCTCCTTCACAACAGCCGTGTGAGGTTAGGCTGACACAGCAAGGTTGCCAAATTAAGTTGGACAATCCCTGGATATTTGGAGGCCGAAGACTGGGGAGGGCAGACTTTGGGTTACGGTTGTCAGGTCTGGATTGGAAAATACCTGGAGACTTTGGGGGTGCATCCAGGTGAGGGTGGGGTTTGGGAGGGGCCTCAGCATGGGGCAATGCCATAGAGTCCACCCTTCAAAGCAGCTATTTTCTCCAGCTGGAGATCAGTTATCATAGAATCATAGAGTTGGAACGGGCCATACAGACCATGTAGCCCAACCCCTTGCCCAATGCAGGAGATCTCCAGGCCCCACCTGGAGGCTGGGAGGCCTACTTTGGGTAGTGGAGGGTGTTAAATACTGAGTTCAAGACAATTGCAGTGAACAGCTCTACTTTAGTGATTTCAGGAACAAGACTGCAGGGCAACTGCCCTGTTTAAGTAGCATGCAAAAAATCACACCCAAACACACCCCACTCCCAAGGATTGGCTATTTACATAACATTGTCTCCTCATTGGTTACCTGTATTTGCATAACGTTGCCTTCTCATTGGTTACCTCTGAATCCTGGTGGTCTATTGTTCCAGAGCTTCAAGCTCAGCCCATCTCTTATGGACAGATCTGGGAGGTTCCAGCCCAATAGATAACAGAGGGAGGGAGCTCAGTAGGGATGTGATGCCATGCCACACTGTTCACCCTCCGAAGCGGCTATTTTCTCTGAGGAAACTGATCTCTGTAGACTGGAGATCAGTTGTAATTCTTGGGGAACTCCAGGCAACCCTCTGACTGACCTAGAGTTACACAGTGAGCTTGCATGGCTGTTTATACATATCCAAAAATATACACGCTGCCCAGTTGTGCTAAATGGTAGCTGTGCATCCATAATAGGACAGTTATGGGTAAATCACGGCGGAAGACAGGAAGGCCTGGCGTGATCTGGTCCATGGGGTCGCAAAGAGTCGGACTCAACTGTGCGACTGAACAACAACAAGTTCTCATTGCACGTGGTGGGTGTGCCGAAATCAATTATCTGAAAAGGGGCTGCTATGTGTTAAAAGCTGCATGCAGATATAACAGTTTGAATAGCGAGCAGACTATGAGTCTTTAAATCATGCTTTTTAAGACAGAGTATTGTGTCTGCTGACTGCCACCAGGGGCCAGCGAATACCCCAGAGCTTGACTCTGGAAGAACAATGGGGCCTAGGCTCCTGGTCCCTCCACTGGGGGACCAATGGGACCGTGGTGGGAGATTTAAACCCACCAACGGGACCTGGGGGTGTGTCCCCAGGTATGTATATAGTTGGCCAGCCGGCCGTTTGTCTTTTGTCTTTGTTGTGTACCAGTAATGCAGGCAGAGTATCATGCGTGCCTCAGCGGGTCTTCCATGCAGCTAACCCACTACACAATACAGAGGTACAAATTTACCAAGTGAAATGAGGGGAAACCAGTTCTGATTTCCAGGAAAAGCTGGTTCTGCAGAGAGCTGATGGTCTCAAAGGCCACCACCCAAACACAAAGCCACCTCTTTCCCCAAAGTTCAAAGCGAAACAGTGGATTGCCTCGTCTTTTATTAAAGGTGCTAAATAAATGGCCAGACACCAGAAAACAATGCAGTTTTTAAATGCCAAAGCATGCGATTGGGGAGAATCTGCACTCAAGTCAGACCCGGGTTCATAGGGGAGTGAAGGCAGGGAGAAGCAGTGCTCTTTCTGCAGCAGGAAAACACAGTACAGGTTGTCAGTCTTAAGTATAGGACCCACACAAGGCTTTTCAGGTAATATCTGGCTTGGCTACCATTGAGTTCAATGGGACAAGTTAAAATTCTGAAACTGGAATCCCTGAGCAGATTTAGAAAATAATTATAAACCTCCCAAATGTGATTGCAAGGATGAGTCTGGTAAAATTTGCAAGGTTAAAGTTCTCTAAAGTTCAAATGTATTTCACAATACATTTGAAGCAGGCAACATAAAAGTTGGGGAGGGGGGACTTTTCATATGTTTTAGGATCATAAGCAATTGTTTCTCCCCATTTATATTTTTATTTCAGTGTCCCAAGCTGCATGGAAAAAAGAAAAATATTAAGAGCATAACGCCAGTCAGATTTTAAAAGCTTTATTTTAACCCTTAATACAAACTGTTAACATTTCACTTCAAAATATACAAATCAAAATTGCACAGTTATAGCTTTTTATTAGCTTTAAACAGTTTTTGTATCACTGAGAAATCTGAATATTATTTTTATTATTAATAATGCAAAAAGGTGCCAAATTATTTCCCCAGAGCCATTTCAACATTATATTGATTATCCTTTTTTCCATTATGGAATTCATGAGGTTTTTTTCCTTTATGCTCTTTCACTGGACAGTATTTTTGTGTCAATACCAAAACTTTTAATAATGAGATACACCTTGAATTTCAAGAAATCTTTCATTATACACCAAGTACATGTAAATGTCCTAGAATAGACCTATGAGATAAGGCGCCATTGCTCTCAGATCTGGTGATGCAGCAGAATCCAGTCATTTCCACAGATTTCCTGTTAACACAGAGTATAATCTATTGATCAAGGCAGTTCAGCTGCCAAAGGTCTCTCTCTTGTATTTTTCCTCACTCAGCATGGACTTTAAAATACCAGGACAGTGCGAATACTGAAATGGTAGAAGAAATTTAAAGTTAGGGATGATTAACTCAGCTCTGTTTGTCAAAGCACAAATAGCTAACGTTTCTCAAGATTAAGATCAAATGGAAAATTTCAAACATTAATAAACAAAAGAGAAGGGGCAATCTGGCTAAAGATTAAGCATGTCCAACTGATTTCAACAGATGTTAGAGTTTTTTAATTAATCCATTCACATATTGCAAAACTTCATAGGTGCCTTTTTATGACCGCAAAGGAGCAGTTTCTGTTAATGCACCACACATTACTAGAATAAATCTTTTCTTCATTTGGAGATAACAGGCATTATCCTACTGTGTTAGTAAAGATCATGATCCAGTCACACTTACTACAATACTTCCCCCTTTTTTCCTGCACATGGGAGTTTCCAATTGCTAAACCCCTCACTTTGTTGACAGCCCTCCCACAAGCAGAATTTGGTGCCCACAAAAAAGCCACATTTGCCTAACAGTGGGTGTAAGAAACCAACTGGATCAGGACCTGAGGAGTCCCCAAAATATACAAGATTTGTTAAAGAGCTGTTTAACATTAGACCTTTTCAATATTCATGCACATGTGCCAGGAGACTTCCAGCTATGAGTAAATGCTCCCAATACAGGGGAGTTACCATGTTGCCTGAACAGGGGCAATGCATGTATCTTACATGCACGTACAGCTTCAGTTTATGCAAACCAATCACTGGGTTTTTCAGGGGTCTGGATGTGCATGCAAAATACACATGTTGCCCTATTCTGACAACATGTTGATCACACGTTGTGGGCAATGTTCCCTCCAAGCTATGGAGTCTTGTGAGCAAAAATTCTACTTTGTGAGCCAATAGCATTAAAGTTGTGAGCATGCGATTTGTCTACTGCATAAATTAGTTTGCTCTGGAGCCATCCTTCCTGAGCGAAGACAAAAATCTGTGAGCTGGAGGCTAAAAAACTGTGAGCTAGCTCACACTAACTCAGCTTAGAGGGAACACTAGTTGTGGGTAGCATTGTGGGTAGTGCATGCTTCTGATACATGCAGTTGTTTGGCTCCTGGTACATGTGGCTGTAATGTCTGAAAAAGTCTACTGATTGTAATGGAACACTGCCTGGTTCTTTATTAAAACATTTACATTTAACCTTTCCTTTTGGTTCAAGGCAGCTTAACAATATTAATTTAAAATATTTTCAGTTTAAAAACCAAAAACAACAACCCCCCGCCCCATGCCTGCCAGTTCAAACTCCCTCAAAAGCCTTGCCAAACAGGCATGTCTAATATCTCCAAGGAAAGAGCCCCTCTCACCTCTACAGAGAGCCCATTCCACAGAGCTGGGGCCATGATAGAAAAGGCCCAGGCTGTGGTTCATGCCAGACGGGCCACCTTGAGTGGTGAAATAACCAACAGATAAGCTTCCTGATGACCATAGTTGGGGCTCAGGGACAAATGGAAGGAGGCAGTCCTACTTCTGCTGCTGCTGTTCTTACAGTTTAAAGGAACACCCCATTATTGTTAAAGGTGAAAGAGCGACTAGCTCTGGATACCAAGTAGCAAGAAAAGCCAAATTTCAGTGTTCCCCCCACCCCCTAATTGTGTCTAGAGCAGGAGGGATTTAATTGACAGATTTAACTGCCTGCAAAGTTGCCAGCACTTTTGCTCGTTGCCAGATGGACCAATGACCCAGGGACACATTCTGATCTGTGATGAAAGTGTAGATTGAGCCATTCTAAACCATTATAACAACACCTGGAAATGCATCTCCCGAAGACAGAAGTACTGTGGGATAAAACTCAAGCGGTGGCTTATCAGGGGCAGAAAACAGGGGTGGCCCTGGTAAATAGGGGCGGTTGGAATCTGTCTCTTTCTTTGGCCTGCCTACATGGAATATACTGATATAAATCTAAGAGAAGTGTAACTGGTATAGCTCCTCCTAGAGAGTTCGGGGAATTACAGTTTGATGAAGATGCTGAGAATCCTCCATGAGTATTGGAACCGTAGTCTAGTTCTTTACCAAGCTATTGGGTATGTTTTTTATACTGCCCTCCTTCCAAGGAGCTGGGGCTGGTTGCGCCATTTTAGTTTCACAACAACAACCCTGTGAGGTAGGCAGTGTTCCCTCTAAGCTGAGTTAGTGTGAGCTAGCTCACAGTTTTTTAGCCTCCGGCTCACACATTTTTGTCTCAGCTCCAGAACACACTAATTTATGCAGTAGCCAAATCACCTGCTCACAACTTTAATGCCGGTAGCTCACAAAGTAGATTTTTTGCTCACAGGACTCTACAGCTTAGAGGGAACATTGGAGGTAGGTGAGGTTGAGAGACAGTGACTGGCTCAAGGTCAACCAGCAAACTTCATGGCCAGATAGGGATTCGAACCTGGGTCTCACAGTACATGTTAACCACTGTTCATGCTGGCTTCCTCCTACGTATAAGCTCAGGCAACTTCACTTTAAGGTTCAGGAAGAATTTTGTAACCATGATGAGAGAAAAGGAAGTCTTACCTCTTTCCTGATCTGAGCATGTCAAAACCTTCATTGATTTTATCAAAAGGTAAAGTTTGGGTAATTAATGGATCAAGAGTGATCTTTTTTGTCATGACATCTGAAACCAGTTTAGGAACAGCCTCTTTGCTCTTCCAGCCTGAAGTTAAGGAAGTACGTAATTAGGACATAGTACTGAAAACAACAATGCCATATGGTAGTAATTAATTAAAGATCTTTTGCTTTCCCAGAGATTTGCAGCCTGAAGGTGTTTCACAATAATGTGCAGCAGAAGATTATTGGTGCAGGACTACTGGGTGCTAGAAAAGATTGCAGGTAGCGCTTTTCACACATCCAATCTGTTTTGCCATTCCAGCTGCACATAACAGGATTGTGCATACTTCCTTACCCCAAAATCTCCAGGAATTTTACAGCCCAGAGCTGGCAACCCAATCTAATCCTCTTCTAAACCATCCAGACTAGTAGTATTCACCTGACTGTGTGGCATTACATTTATGAAAAAATTATGTGTTGCATGAAGTATTCTCTCTTTTAAGTTATGAATGTACAATCAATTTCATTGAGTGACATCAAGTTCTAGGGTTACAGGAGAGGAGGGAAACGTTCTCAAGCTGTGCATCATTTTATAAACTTTTTACCTTGTTCCCTCTTAGTCATCTTTTTTTATAAACTAAAAAACACCAATGAAAATAAGAGCACCAAAAAAAACAGAGGGAAGGAACCCTGCTGTAGCATCTCTCCCTTGGATATGCAGGTGTGAGATAATGCTTACCTCCAAACACAGATCCTTTCCAAGTGCGGCCAGTGAAGAGGAGCATTGGGTGAAAAGTGATCTCTGATGCTGAGGGAGCCACTCCCACAATCACGCTGGTTCCATAATTCAGCTGGCATGAAGCCAAGGCAGCAGTCTAGAGCGAAAATCAAAGTCATGCACTTTAATCATGCGTGGGAGGGGGGAGGAATCTGCCATTAGCACCATGAAATTCTTGCAGAGTTTCAGGTTTGAAACCCCTGGCACCTTTAATTTAAATATTTATATCTTGCCTTTTCAAAAACTCAAGGGAATTTACATAGCAATAACAATTTTAAAAATAAGCTATTTAAGACAGAATAAAACAGCATACCGGAAGGATTATTCATATAAATTTAAGTGTATCAGCAACCGGTAAAACAGCTTCAGCAGTCACAAAAGTCTTCTGAAACAAGATGATCGTAAACAGTCTTCTAAATGCTATCAGGGAGGGATGTTGGTACACAGACACCCTGATAGGTGGTTCCATAAAAGGCCCAGTTCCTCGCAGAGGACAAGCACACTATTGGAGCAGATGGTACAGTTGGAAGAGCACTCTGGGCAGATCTGAGAGCACGCAGAAAGGTTTGAACTAGGAGAGATGGGCCTTCTTGAATTGAACATGGAAACAAACAGGTAGCCAGTGCATCTCTTTGAACATAGATGTAATGTGATTAATGGATGTGGAGTGGTATGGCATAGCTTGATCTCGTCAGATCTCAGAAGCTAAGCAGGGGTGGTACATAGATGGGAGACCACCAATGAAGACTCTGCAGAGGAAGGCAATGGCAAACCATCTCCACTTCTCACTTCCCTCGAAAGCCCCTTGCTGGAGTCATCATAAGTGGGTTGCGACTTGGCGGTGGATCTTACATTCTAATAGTGAAGTATGGGCCCATCTGTGAACGCTTACATCAATGGATTTGGGCGTATTTACACAGAAGGAAGATGTCCCTACAAACTTGATGGACCAAGCATGGGGGGGGGACAGGTATAGCAACGAAGATGGAGGGTAGGCAGAGCATGAGGGATGGGGGGTGGAGGAGAGGGAAGGAAGGAAGGAAAACTATGAGACACGGTACTGAGAGTTGGGGAGATAGGCAAAACAGTGGTGATGGAGGGTAGGCAGAGCAGTGACAATGGGGTGGGGGTGGGGAGGGGGAGGAAGTAAAGGCAGGGGGAATGAGGTGCCCCCTCTCCATAAGTTGCTTGTGGGTCCTTGCTTGTACACGCATAATGTGTTTTTGTCAGTTTGTCCCAGGAAGTGAAAACATAGGCATCCTTTGCTCTAAGTAAAGCCTTCAAAGGCTGCCCTATATACAGTTATCGAGTCTAGAGATTACAACAGCATGGAACTCTATGGCCAAATAGCCACGTCCAGTGCAGTGGGTTATTTACAGACCAAATGCAGCTGGAAAAGGCAGCTACAATCAGATCCTTCTTTTCAGAAAGAAAGGAAATGTTCAAGAATACCTCCAGGCTCTTTGCTTGATCAGCCAGGGACAATCTTACCCCATCTACAGAGACAAAGCAATCTCCTCCAGAAATCATTGTTTCTGACCAGCATCAGTTCCATATTGTTTGGATTATGTTTCCATTAGGATTCTGTTTCAGTTCACATCCTCCCAAAATTTGAAGGGCTGCAACAGATTATTGGCTCAGAACCCAAGGCATGAGGATTGTCTGTAATCCCAAAAAAGTCTGGAGTGGGACCAGAAAGGGCCCTCACTAGTACGAGGTCTGGTGGATTAATGCCGAGGCTGAAATTGATTTACTGGTGTGGGTTGATGCAATGATACCTTAATGCACGTACCATGGTATCAATGCGTCCAATCACTTCAAAAGAATAATCGACACCACCCTTGGTCATTTCAACGATTACATCCTGAATGGGTTTATCGAAATCCTTTGGGTTGACACAGTCTGTGACGCCCAGCTCCTTGGCTTTGGCAAACTTATCCTTGTTAATGTCGACCCCAATGATTCGGGATGCTCCTGCAGCCTTGCAGCCCATGACTACAGAGAGACCGACTCCTCCCAAACCGAAAACAGCACAGGTAGAACCAGGCTCCACCTACATCACCATAAAGATAATAAATTGAGAATGTCAGTGAGGGACCATATCTCCAGTGCAATACTGTTTTTCCTCTCCCATGGAACTGCTAGATTTGAGTCCTGTATCACCTTAGATTTTTTTTTGGATATAAGCTTTTTGAGAGTCAAAGCTTCTTTTGGCAGATACATGTATATGACCAAGTCCATACCCCCCAAATCATGTTGGTCTCTAAGGTGCTAATGGGCTCAAATCTAGCTATTCTACTGTAGATCAACATGGCTGTCCCCCAGAAACTATCCCATGGAGCTGTTTGAATGTTCAGTTTAAGAACCTAAGAAGAGCCCTGCTGGATCAGACCAATAGTCCCTCTAATCCAGTTTCCTGTCTCACATCGTGGCCAACCAGTTCCTCTGGTCGGCCAACAACAGGGCATTGAGGCCGAGGCCTTCCCCTGATGTTGCCTCCTGGCTCTGGGATTCAGAGGCTTAGTGCCTCTGAATGTGGAGGTTCCCCTCAGTCACCATGGCTAGTAGCCATTGATAGACTTATTCTCCCTGAATCTATCCTTTAAAGCTGTTTATTCCTGTGGCCATCACGGCATCCTCTGGCAGCGAATTCCACATTTTAATTTACTTGTAAATTGCAGAAAAGCTTTTTAAACATTTTGCTAAACCCCCTAAGAGTCCCCATTGTGAAATTAAAATTTAATCAAATGATTATGAGCCAACTGTTGGAAACACATTGTCGTGATTGATAGGATCCAGAGTAGAGTTGGTAACACCAACTTGGGAAATTCCTGAAGATTTCAGGGTGGTGCCTGGGGAGAGTGGAGTTTGGGGAGCAGAAGAAATTTAGTAGATATGTGATCCCTTCCAGGCCCTACTTTGTCATCAGCAACCATGACTGGAACCAATGTTAAAAGGGAGGTGCGATGGGAAGCCATCCCACTGAGTTTTTTAATGGATGAAGCAGGTATTTCAAAGTCAGCAAGAAAACAGTTCTTGTTCACACCTGTCTGGGCAAGGCTACCGGAAAATAGACTCTACTGAAGTTGAGGCTTCAGCTGTTGGCCAAGGATGAAGTTATCTCTGGGCAAGAGTAGATGAAAATACTTGGGTCCTCCTATTCCATTTCGATTTGTCCAGGCCAGACCTGTTTATGGAGAGGCAGGCACTGAAGAGACAGTCACATGGAGAGACGGTTTTTTCCAACAACTGAAGCTTTCCAGAGTTACTTCTAGGTCTGCCTCTCCCAGTCTGACCTGGACAGGGCCAGAACATGAAAGTAGGCTCCATAGGACTTGCCCTGCCCGTGAGTGAGGAGGAGGTACACATAATTACACAAACAGAATACCTGATAACTTTTTGGAAGGTTTTCCAAGCCTAATATTAGGCCACGTTCACTGATATTTTTTATTTCATTTACAGTAACTGTATTAATGGTAATGACTAAGTGATAAACTGTAATGCTTTCAATGGGCAAATAACTAATTCAGCTAATTGTTAGTACATTGTTTATTATTTAATTCATTTATACCCTGCCTTCCATTTTATCCTCACAACCACCCTGTGAGGTAGGTTAGGCTGAGAGAGTGTGACTGACCCAAGGTCACCCAGCAAGCTTCCATGGCAGAAGTGGGGATTCAAACCTGGGTCTCCCAGGCACTAGTCTGACATTCTTAACCACTACACCACATTGGCTGCAGCAGCTGCAGACTGAAAAATGGCATGTTGGCCACAGGCAGGGAACATGGCCTTATCTCTGTGCCGCAGTTCACATGCCCACAGTTTTCTCACACTGGAGATCACCCGCTTACATTCTGTCACCCGCTTACATTCTGATCGCTACCTTTGCAGTGTTGAGGGCCGCTCCATAGCCAGTAGAAAATCCGCAGCCAATCAGACACACTTTTTCTGGAGGAGCTGCGGCATCGATTTTGGCAACGGCGTTCTCGTGCACCACGGTGTATTCTGTGAAGGTGCTGGTGCTGGCAAAGTGGTGCACCGGCTTCCCTTTGTAAGTGAACCTACTGGTACCATCAGGCATTAGTCCACTAGCACCCCCAAGGCTGAAAGAGACAGAAGGGGTGGGGGTTGCTCTTTTGATTAAGGACACAATAAAAGGAATGATAATAAGAAGGACTAGAAGACCAGTCCTTTAATTACTGCTGCTACTGAAACTCACTCATTTTGGGAGCACATGTTGGCTTTGGGATTTAAGCAAGTGCTGCATTCGCCACACTGGGGGACAAAGAGTGGGATGACTTTGTCTCCTGGAAATAACAAGAAGAATATCGTTGATCTCTGGAGGTTTGATAAGAGCTAGTAGCATGAAGGCAGACAGTCCTCTGAATCTGAGGAAGTGCGCATGGACCCATGCTAAGTCCGTTCTTGCTTATCCCCAGAACTGAACTTTGTCTTGAAGGTGCCACTGGACTCAAACTTCGTTCTCACATCCGTTTGTTAGCTCTTGTATTTGCATGCTAATTTACTGCCATTCGCAGATCTTTCTTACTTCCAGTCTCAGCTATAATCACCCAGTACTTATGCATCTTGACTCAGACTTTCCCTTCCTGACAACCAACCCCCCATCGCCTCTCTCTTCCTATATGTAATGGTTGAAGGAATTCTGTTTCCCTGTATCTGAGGAAGTGTGCTTGCACACGAAAGCTTATACCTTGAATGAAACTTTGTTGGTCTTAAAGGTGCCACTGGACTCAAACTTTGTTCTGCTGCTTCAGACCAACGTGGCTACCCACCTGAATCTAATGTTCTACTGTTTACGCTGTTATATATTCTACAGGTCCATCCCAGGCTTATGTTGAACCAGATGTGCTCTGGGAGTTCTGTGTGGAAACTTAATTCTCAGGCATGTTGGGAGCCCAATTCAGATCAGGGTGGCAGTGTGCAGGTAAAAGGACCATGAGCCTCCTTCCTCAAGCTGTTTTTCCAACAGAGATTAGATCATTCCTTCCAATGTGGTTTCTCTAATGTAAACCAGCCCTCCCATCACACTATTGTTATCCCTTTAATGCCTGTCATTGTTCTGTAAAGGACATTTAAATTGCAGGGGTGGAGTGAGTTTCAGCTGGTGAAGCCACAAGGAGATGGGTTTAAACCACTTCTGTATAGCCCTTATTGAGCTTAAATTGTAGCTGGGAAATTCCAGCCTTCTTGTTGTTCGTGTTGCCTCTATATTTCCTTGTTATACGCATATGCTTTGCTGTACCTGGTTTCACGCTGGTAACTCCTTCCCCAACACTCTCCACAACTCCAACCGCTTCATGGCCAAGAACACAGGGAAGGGGCGAATAGAGAGAGCCGCTGACAACGTGATCATCTGAGCGACAGATTCCCGTAGCCAAAATCTGGAGTGAAAATAAAAGAAGTCGACTGCCTGAGGCTTAGCTGTTTTTGGAATACGGAAGTCTGCTTAAATAGGGTTGAATCTTCGCTGAAGACTCGTGTTGGTTTGGGGCAGCTAAGGGGAAGAGCAAAACTTTCCCACTTGCCTACACTCCCTGCCCCTCTTGTGAGATTCCATGACTGTAACTGGTCAGGACAAAACAGCTTTAAAAAGTAGTTTGGGATGGAGAAAGTAAGCACAAGAGACAATGGGTTGGATCCAATTAGCTTTTCCATTGGCGAAAGAGGGAGGATGGGGTCTTCTTGACCACCAAAAAGGATATGTTGGGGATTGTGGGATCTGCATGGATAAAGGCCATGTGGGACGGGATTTGTAATAAGGAACAGAACAGGGTGAGATTCAGCTAAAAAATCTTGTTGGTTCCAACCCATCTTCTTCCTTCTACCCATCAATACTGTGTTTTTAAATTGTTCCCCATCAGATTCAGCATGACTTAAATTTAGTCATGCAACGTAACTTCTAGTTTCAGCCTAAACTCACCAAAATCTAGGGACCTTAAGCATGCCCAAATGACAGATATCTACTGGAATCTGGTGCTGTTTTTCATCTGGGGATGTTATTTTAGGAGACATGATGTTGGAACACATGGTTTGCATGCAAAAGGTCCCAAAATCTTAGCATCTCTGGTTAGAAGGATCTTAAGTAATAACAATGGGGAAAATTTTGGCCTGAGATCCTAGAGAGCTGTTGTCAATTAGAAATGGAAATACTGGTTCAAACCCGCCAATGGTGGGCGAAGATCTTTGGCTAATTGGATCTCGCCCAGGCTTACCAGCAGTTGCCAGTGGACGAGGCAACAGCAGAAGCACAAACTATAGTGACCCACCGGGGGGCATTCCGTGTGAAGCGACTACGTTTTGGGGTGAGCGTGGTGCTTGGACTGTTCCAGCAACTAATGGACTCTTTGCTTAAAGGGATCCCCGGCGTCACGCCCTTCTTTGATGATGTGATGATCGCCGCAGCCATGCCCACCGAATTCGCCGTTCGCCTCCGCGCCGTGCTCAGCCGTTTCCAGGACGCTGGGCTGAAAGTAAAACTGGACAAATGCCGCCTGGGGGTGCCATCAGTGGACTTTTTGGGGTTCACGGTGGACGCTGAGGGCCTCCACCCAACCCACAACAAAGTTAAAGCGATTGTGGAGGCGCCGCTGCCAAAGTCTAAGGCGGAATTGCAGGCTTTTCTCGGTATCCTGAACTTTTACCACGCCTTCCTACCCCACAAGGCGGCGGTAGCGGAGCTTCTCCATTGCCTGTTGGACAAACAAGCCCCATGGGTGTGGGGACCCCGGCAGGCCACCGCGTTCCGGAACGTAAAAGAACTTTTGATCTCCAACGCGGTCTTGGCCCACTTCAATGAGTCGTTGCTGGTGGTACTGGCCTGCGACGCCTCGCTCTACGGCGTTGGGGCTGTACTGGCACATCGCCTACCAAACGGCCGGGAGGTCCCGGTCGCGTATTACTCGCGCACTCTGTCTGCGGCCGAATGAAATTATGCCCAGATAGATCGCGAAGGACTTGCAATCGTGGCCGGGGTTAAAAACTTCCACGATTTCATCTATGGTCGACCCTTCACCATCGCCACCGACCACTGCCCGCTTCTCGGCCTCTTCGCGCCCGACCGAAGAATGCCACAGGTCCTCTCCCCGCGCGTCCTACGGTGGACCATCTTCCTGGCAGGCTACGAGTACCGGATTGAACACTGCCCCGGGAAGGCGATGGGCCACGCCGACGCACTCAGCTGCCTGCCCCTGCCGGACGTCATGGAGGACCCAGCCCTGGTGCACTGTGTCCTCCAGGTGGAGGGCCTCCCAGACGCGCCACTCCAGGCAGCTGACGTCACCCGCCGCACCGCTCGGGACCCCATTCTATCTCGGGTCCTGGGCTGGGTGGTGAGGGGATGGCCTACACAGGTGGAGGGGCCAGAATTTGCGGCGTTCAAATGCCGCAGGGAGGCGTTATTGGCACACAAAGGCTGCCTACTGTGGGGGGACCGGGTCGTGGTCCCCAGCGCCCTGCGGCAAAAGGTTCTGCAAGCCCTGCACGAGGCACACCCGGGCATCGTGAGGATGAAGGGCCTCGCCCGGAGCTACGTCTGGTGGCCGGGCATCGAAGCAGAAGTAGAAGCATGGGTGAAACAGTGCGCCACGTGCCAGGCGGTGAGGTCCAGCCCACCGGGGGCACCTTCCCAGTCCTGGGAATCCACCCACACCCCGTGGTCCAGGCTACACATAGACTTTGCTGGACCGTTCCATGGACTGTTGTTCCTGGTAATGGTAGACTCTTACACCAAGTGGCTGGAGGTCAGCCCCGTCTCCACAACGTCCACTAGGGCCACCATCCGCATCCTCCGACAGCTGTTCGCCACCCACGGTCTGCCAGACACCATCGTCTCGGACAATGGGACAGCGTTCATGTTGGAGGAGTTCCAGCAGTTCCTCAGCGGCAACCTGATCCGGCACATCAGGTCAGCGCCTTTCCACCCCGCGACCAACGGCCAAGCGGTGCGGACGACTAAGGAAGCACTGAGCCACCTGACGGAGGGAGAATGGGAGAGGCGAATTGCGCAATTCCTCCTCGCACAGCACATCATGCCCAACCCGGTAAGCGGCCACTGCCCAGCGGAGCTCCTCCTTGGCCGGAGGCCTCGGACCCTGCTGGACCGCCTGCACCCGGATCGGGCTCCAGAGGAGCGGAACACGATGGAGCAGCGGGAGGCACCCCGCGGGTTTTTTCCAGAAGACACGGTTTTTGCCAAGAACTTTGGTAGGGGGCCCGCATGGCTGGCCAGCTGCATCATCCGTCCCTTGGGCACCCGGATGTATAACGTGTCTACCGAGTGTGGCCAACTACTGCGGAGACACATTGATCAGCTCCGTAGGCGCATGCTCCCGGAACACACGAGTGCGGAAGGTCTGGAACGTCAGCCAGGCCTGAACCTGAAGAGCCTCCGCTGGTAAGACCCTCCGACACAGTGGCCGAGGCCCCAGCGATTCCAGTATCACCCCCCCGAAGGTCCACAAGAGAGCGATGGGCCCCGTCCTACCTCAAGGACTACGTGACCTAGGGGGGTTCCGAACTATGGGGGGAGGGATGTTGTGTACGCTGACCACCACTGGGGGCCAGCGAACACCCTGAGCTTGAAGCGGGAATAACAATGGGGACTAGGATCCTAGTCCCTCCACTGGGGGAACCAATGGGACCGTGGCGGGAGATTCAAACCCGCCAATGGGACCCAGGGGTGTGCCCCTGGATATGTATATAGTTGGCCTGCCGGCCATTGTTCTTCGTTCTTGTTGAGTACCAATAAAGCGTGCTATGTACTACGTCGTTGTCTGTCGTCCATCCATGCGGCAACCCACTACTCAATATCCAAGTTTGATGGAAGTAGAACCCATTTTTGTTAGTTAAAACTTGGTTAGCATGAGATGCTGGAGAGTTTGTCTCCCCCCTCCCCAAGTTTCTATCATTTAAATCTGCAATTAGATGTGGAGTGTGTTTTCCCGTTGGGATGCTGCATGTCACTGCCCTTTATTCTGCATCAGCCTGCAAATGTTACATCTGTGGAACATTAGTTTTTTGTCACATGTGCAGAGAGGACTCCTGTGCACCCCCATTGGTTTCAACTTAAGAAATAGAAGCTTGGCTCATGCTGTTGAAGAAGCCATTCCATTCATATCCAGAGCTCCTAATCCAGGAACAGATGAGTCGTTTTGTTAACAGAGGTGTGGTGAATCTTTCGCTTTTCATTCTTACCTTAATGCGAACTTCATGTGCCTTTGGTGGTGCCACTTCTATTTCAACAATGCTAAATGGTTTCTTAACCTCCAGGCAAACAGCTGCTTTGCATTTGATGACCTGTGAAGAAAACAGAAGGCCAAAGAGTAATTCTGCTTGTAACTAGACCAGCTGTTGACACAGGGTGGGGTTCTCTGTTTCTTGTACATGCGATCAGTGTTGGATTTTGACTCCACAGACCTGCCATTCGGCTTTGAAGCTTTCTGATAAACTTTGATTCATCGTTATCTTTCCACCTAAATATCTTACAGAATATTTGTGAGAGTTAAATTTAACAACCCCCCCCCCCCAAAAAAAACCCACGCAAGAAAGTTAGGGATAAAACCGAATGCTTTGGAGGGATTAGACCTAATTACTTGAGATGGAATGGAGTTGGAGTAGCCAATGGAACCCATCTTGCCTGTTGTAAGACAGTTACATTGGGCACGATCACACCACAACATCTGGGAAGCGGAGCGCACCCGTCCCCGATCCGTCCTTTCCAGGGGGAAACGCGCATCAAAAGAGTACTACGTACCTGAAGCTCCGCAGCAAGGGTGGCCGTGGGATCGCCGGCACACCCATCTTCCGCAGCCTTTGAGGCTCCTGGCCAAACTGCGCATGCGCACATGCGCAGCCAGCTGCCTCACTCGCGGCGCTTCCCCCCCCCCCCCCGGCATCTGATCATGCCGGGGAGCAACTGAGCGGCGGCTCGGGGGATCTGTGTGATCCCACCGCTGTGCGTCTATTTTGATGCAGCTCAGAAAAGCCGCGCTTTGGCCGTGCCTCCCCCCCCCCCCCGTGTGACCAGGGCCATTGCCTGCTTGTTTATTTCTGAATTTAATTCAGTGCACTGGCTATGATCTTTAAACCCTCCATGGTCTAGGACCCATGTCTCCTCCCATATGTCCCTGTGCAGCAACTGCAGTCCTCTAGTTGCCCCCTTCTGGTTGTCCCCTCACTTAAGGGAATCATTCTGGTATCGACCACAGTCCTTTTCAATAGTGGCTCCCACCTAGCGGAACAGGATCCTAGAAGAGGTGAAGAGGTTTCCATGCATAGAAGATTTTAGGAACTGCTGTAAGACTGTTTTATTTTGTATGATTTTAGTGGGGTTTAGCTGCAGGCATTTTCATGGAGACAGGGGTTATCAGGGTTTAATTTTTATAATGGATGGGTCTGATGTAGAATTGTGAACTGTCATGAGCCCTAGGGGATAGGTGAAGTATAATTTTTTAAATAAATAATGTCAAAAGCTGGGAACAGATTCAATCAGAGATAGTGGGAGTGGGGCAGAAAGCATTTTTTTTAAAAAATCCACATGGTCCTGTGCTGGGGCCATGGCTCTGATTGAAATGTTCTGTTCCAACATTGTTCCAACATTAGAACAGAATTGGCATCCCAAGCCCCCCCCACACACACACACCCTGGGGCTAGCATTATATTATACCACTGAAATGCCTAATGTGAATATAAACACAAATCACAACGGAACACTGTTTTGTAAGCTTATTTTGAGGAAGAAGCAGCATGGCAACTCTATTACCTAGTGCCAACATCTAAACTAATCGCAGGTTTTGTTAATACCAAATTTCCTTCTGCTCTCAGCCTGTGAAGAGAATTGTATGTTCTGTTTGTACATTTAATCAGCTTTTGATTTTTATATTTCCCCTTCGAGGCTGGATTTTTTCTTTTTCCCTCTTCCCTGTAGGCTAAAGGCACGGCTTGATGCCTGCTCCACCTAATCTGTTCAAACCTGTAGAACATCCTATAGGAGGGAAGGAGGATAGTATACTATTCAAATCAGGGCCTGGAATATCTTTTTTTCCACCCCCACATTCTGCTTTTGTGTTCAACATGAAGCTTGATTAAGATAATTTAAATGCTTGCACCCTGTTCTGTGTTATTTCGGTTGGTCCTAATAAAATATATTACTCGGCTTTTCTTTTTTGGGTTGTTCTTTGGCCCTATGGCTACCTGCAGTCTCTGCTTGTCCCGTTGAGGTTAGATGCGTTGGGGTGTCATAAGATCAGGGGTCCCCAACCTTTTTAAGCCAGTGGGCACCTTTGAAATTCTGACACAGAGTGGCGGGCACAGCCACAAAATGGCTGCAATGGGAGGTGAAACCAACAGCAAAATATTCGGGAGTAAGGTCATGTATAACTCTTCAACATTTCCAGCAGAAATTCTGGTTAACAGGAGGATACCTTTTAAAATTGTGCTGTGGTGGCAGCTGCTGCTGAAGCAACTCTTGTGCACAGCCAATCAGAAGCCCTGCTGGGGGAAAGCCCCACGTGGCCCCACTCACTTTCTAAAAATACTTGGCAGGCACCAGGAAAGATGTCAGTGGGTGCTAGGGTTGCCAGCCTCCAGGGGGCGGCTGGACACCTCCCACTGTTACAAGTGCTCCCCAGGCGACAGAGATCAGTTCACCAGGGGAAAAGTCCCTCCTTTTCCCCAAAACCCAATTTCTTTATGCTCCGCCCCCCAAATCTCCACGTATTTCCCAGCCTGGAGCTGGCAACCGTAGTGGGCACCAATGTTCCCTCTAAGCTGTGGAGTCCTGTGAGCAAAAATTCTACTTTGTGAGCTACTGGCATTAAAGCTGTGAGCGAGCAGTTTGGCTACTGCATAAATTAGTTTGCTCTGGAGCCATCCTTCCGTAGCAAAGACAAAAATGTGTGAGCCAGAGGCTAAAAAATCGTGAGCTAGCTCACACTAACTCAGCTTAGAGGGAACACTGGTGGGCACCATGGCACCCACAGGCACCATGCTGGGTACCCCTGTGCAAAATGATCATTGGGTTTGTCATCTTAAAGCCCACTGTGTGACTGCTTTCCCAGTAAACCTGTTGATCTTTCCATGTCCCAGAATGTGTGAATTTGTGATTATTATCAGTAAAATGTTTCAGCTGGGCTGGCCAACTCTGTGTTGGGAAATTCATGGAGATTTTGGGGGTGGAGCTTGAGGAGGACAGAGTTTGGGAAGAGGAGGGAGTTCAGAAGGGTATAATAAGGCCATAGAGTCCGAAGCTGCCATTTACTCAAGGGGAGACTAGTTGTAATGGGTTCCCCCCGCCCCCCGCCCAGACCTCACCTAGAGGTCCTCAACCCTTATTTCAAACAAACAGGCATCTGTTCTCTTATGGGAAAGAATCTGCTTTCTGAGACCCCTCAGTGTCTTCCCCCACATATTGTTGCTTTGAGAATATATAATTCTTTTTTTAAAACTGGGTTTTGTGAAGTCCTATTAACATACTTGGTTTTACAAGCAAGTCCACAATAAACACATTTATCCATAAAAGAAATAACGTTGCAGAAGCCCCGTCACTCAGCAAACCTTGTAGACTTCTTACTGTGTCAAGTGATATTATACTCTGTCAAGTGATGTAATTATTAATTTTTAATGTATTATTATTACTGTGTCAGGTGATATTACACTGGCTTTTAAAAAGATTTGTTCTCTTAAATGTGATTCCGTAAAAGCTTTCAAACTAGCTGCAGCTTGCTTTTCCCCCTTTATTCTTGGGGAAAGAGGTATTTGTACAAACAAGATGAGTGCTGGAATTCTACCAAGAATGGTACATGTAGTGACTCTGAAATGTTGTGTAAAATGTTATGAAAGCAGAAAAAGGAAAATCTTTGCCAAAGGATTGTAAAGAACAAGTCAACAATTATGTGATAAGCTCACTTGTTACTTGTGGCAAAAAAATTATTACGCCTGGGTAGAATATTTTGTGAAGAAATTATCTTGGATAGATTCCAGCATACTACCACAGATGTTTTTGGAATGGACAATTTACTGCTTTTCATTGTTACAACCCTATTATGCCCTGGCTTTATATCTGGTGTTCTGAAATCTGGGTGGCCATTTTATTTATGTTTTAGTACATTCTTATTCTGCCTTTCCTTCAAGGAGCTCAGGCCAGTGTACATGGTGTTCCCTGTCCATTTTATTCTCACAGCAATCCTTGCCATTACCTAGGTCCAGGTGGGGAATCCTCTGGTTTGGGGGGCTTCTGCCCACTGCTGGCCAGCTGGCTGGCAGGGAAAACCTGGTCCCCAAATGGCAATATTGCTGTGCAACATCACCGATGTGATGATGTCACATGGAAGTGACATCATCGAGTTGGGAACCTCTTGCAGCAATGCTCTGGTTTGAGGGCAAAGCTCTATGGTTTGAGGACAAATTTATCATAGAGTTTTAGAATCGCCATGTGACACCCCTGATGTGATGATGTCACTTCTGCATGACATCATTGTGTCAGTGACGCCACGTGGCAATGTTGCTGTTTGGGGGAGGAGCCCTGCACCACTCCCAGAAGGCTCCCTCATACCCCCCACCGGCACATAGTGAATACCTGGCTGTCAACATATATATGTTCAGTTAAGTCTGGCTGTAGATCAGATGAATCTAAGTGACAGGAGTTGACAGCTTGAGTGTCAAAAGAGCTGGCTCCAACCAGTTCTGGCTGGTTCCTGGCAGAACTAATTAGCAATGACTCAGCATTGGTCCTGATTGGGCAATGCAAGTATAAGTACAGTGATGTACAGTGTAACCCATCTTCTTGTGAATATCTGGTGTCTGCGTAAGCATTTTGTCGGTCTGTGCAATAACTTGGTGGTGGCTTGTGTGAATAAACTGTAAATAGCTTTTACACTAAGCCTATAAGACTCACGTCTTATTTGATACTCTCACACCCGTGCACACCCTGCAGTGGGCTAGTACCGCGTTACATCGACTCTGGCAACCCTAACAATCCTGTGTAGGGTTACTGATATCCAGACGGGGCCTGGAGTTCTCCTGGAATTAGAACTGATCTCCAGAGGACAGAGAACAGTTCCCTAGGATGAAATGGCACCTTCAGAGGGCAGACTCTCAGGTGTACCATAGAGTCTACGAGAAAAGTTCTAGAATGAAGTCACCACTGAGCTCCTTCTTCTCCCCAAACTCTTCTCTCCTCAGGCACTATCCCCAAATTTTCAGGAACTTCTCAAACAACCCTAATCTTATGAAAGAGTGACTGTTCCCAGAGCCACTCAGTGAGCTTCAGAAAATGTCCCTCAACCTACCATTCTAAGCCAGGGGTCGCCACCATGGTGCCTATGGGCACTCTGGCACCAGCCCACAGCTTTCTTTATGCCCACCAAATGTTTTAAGGAAGTCGATGGGGCTAAGTAGGGCTTTTAAAATTTCTTATGGCATAATGCTGACAATGGCTTTATGTGAAATGCCTTTCCTGTGCTAATAGCAGAGTGATATTCTAAAAACATATCGGGTGTTCCTTCTTACCAAACATGACAGGTCAGCATGGCTTAAATGCTTAGTAGTACACTTAACTGGAAGTTCTACTGAAGTCATTAGATCTTTCCCGTTTGAATATATTTTCATAATTTAAAGAAACAAAACAAACAACTGTCTGGGCTCATCTAAAGCAGAGAAGAAGCCAGAAGAAGCATTTTTCCTGCAAAATGCCTGCAAAATTAAGACAGATACAGCCAGGTGAGGGTTTCTTAGCTGGCTCAATGTGTACACTTATTTTGTGTGCATGCAAGAAAATATTTTTAAACATTGTGGAAATTTTTAAAGGCATGCCGTTAAACAGCACTCGGATCTGAAATGCTGAGGAGCTCGTCTCAGAGTTATGCGTAACCTCACTCCCTGACGTTCCTGTGGTTGGCCCGTCTCCCGTGGCAGCCTCTGTCAGTATTCCAACTGTGCCCACAGGCTGAAAAAGTTTGAGGACCCCTTTGCTCTGAACAATACACTAATACTGGCTCCCCCTCTTTTTGCCCCATTTGGATCCTGCCTTTCTGCAAGCTACCCAAGGCATTTTACATTTTAAAAGTTGTAGACTACAAAGCAAACCCCATAAAAAGTAGATGTTAATCCAAGCCCTGGTTGGTTCCTTCAAGAGCAGATGCCATAAGGACTGTTGGCGTCCTGTCCTTTTCCATGACCAGGATAGCCCAGGATAGCCTGATATTATCAGATTGAAGCAGTGTTCCCACAAAGCTGTGAGCGTGAGTAGCTGCTCATTAACACAGGAAGCCCCGCTCAGTGGCAATCTGGAGCTGCGCAGGGTCTTGCACTGCCCATTCCCCATTTTGAGATTACAGCAGTTCTATTCTGCTCAGGATGTGAACTGCTCCACTCAGTAGGGGGGGGGGCGGGAATAAAGGGAACATTGCTCAGAAACTAAGCAGGGTTGGCCCTGGTCAGTATTTGGATGGGAACCCACCAAGGAATACCAGGGTCATGACACAGAGGCAGGCAAATTCCTCTGAATGCCTTTTGCCTTGAAAACCCTGTGGGGTTGCCATAAATCAGCTGTGACCTGACAGCAAAAAAGAAAAGCAGCTATAGCTGACTGCAACTAGACAAAGTCCCTGAAAAAGAGAGGAGAACTCACATTCTCACAGGGCCAGCACAGACCTTTGACTATTTGCAACTGGTCAAAGTGCTGTCTTTCTTTTTAAAGGTGTCATGAATCTCTGGGTTCAATAAGTGATCGTTTACTTACTTTCCCTGCAGTGCTCATAGTGACAGTTCTACCACCTCTGTGTAGTTTCAGCAGGCTTTCAGTAGGTCTTCCTTTACTGCTTGATGCCTAAAGGTTCTCCTTGAAAGCTCCTGTTGCAACAATACACTTTGACTTCACTTTGCATGCCCTTCCCCAAGTTCCACCCTCTGAACGCAAGCCACTCCTCTGCTATCTCTCCGTGCGTGCAGATAGTTTTATAGTCTGAAGGACTTGTGTTGGTTGAGCAGGTAGTTTCTCTGGGTAGTGTGATTTCCTCAATACCACTGAGGAAATTAAGTAGGATTTTGACATTAAAAAAACGTATCCTTTCTGGATTAGGTGCATATTATGGAGAGGCAATGAAATCCAAGTATTTGTCATGTCAGATCAAGGGAAGCAGAATTAAACCGGAATGCCAACAGATGCCTAGAAAGCCTTCATCCTCCAGGCAGGCAAAAAAACGACAACCCCACATTGAAAGTCTCTCTGATGTTTATTCAGCTTTAAAAGGATTGTGCAGAGGACTTTCCTTAAAAGATGGGTGATGACCAGGCATACTATTGGCCTGCTTTTGGTGGGCATTTTCCTGTCTTGCCCCCGTGCTGATGGGAGAACTTTCGGAACAGAGGTGAAGTTGCAAGATATGTTGATGTCACATCCAGACAAAAACCTGAATGTGAAGTCAGCGTGTCAGCCAGTGCTCTGGAAACTCTGTGGTTGCGTCTGTTATGTCTTGAGAGACATAATGGTAAAAGCTTGAGATACCATAGCTCATTATGCGGATTGTAAATACTGACCAATGGTGTGTATTCTGGAGGGAATGGGTTTGATCGGACGTTATGTATCGATTGTGATTGGATGTAACGTACCTAATGTGATTGGATGTTGTGAAACATTGTAGGTGTGGCTATGTCAGCCAGAATTCTATATAAGTTGCTGTTTTGCCTATGGAAGTGGTCTAGCTGGTCTAGCACCTACAAGGCTGAGCCTTCATGCTGTTATCACTGAAATAAAGCTGAAATCACTTGTTGAACTGTTCCTCTGAGTTAAGTGTCATACTTAACAGCGCCTGCCTCTGGCCCTGTGCCCCCTGTGTTCTCAGGGGTGCCAGGTGGTGGTCTGGAAATCCCTAGCGGTCAGATGTTAGGGGATCAGGTTGCAATTCCAAGAGAACTTTGGGTCCCATCTGGAGATTAGGCAGTCTGAAGTGTTACAGTCCAGAATCTACTACATTAACCAAACAAAGTGTAGATTACCTCAGAGTTAAAGCTCTTTGTACCTTCACTGACAATGTAGTACAAGTTCAAAGTAACCTGACCCTTCGTTCTAAGGAGATTAGACAGGTTACAAACCAGGATGGCATTTGGTTCTGTGAAATAAATCTGATGAACAAAATTTAATTTCAAAACTCTTTTCTCTATGCTAATTTAATTCATTAGTTTTGATCCAGTGAAAGACACCATCCCTTTGATCTATGGGCCTTTCCAATGTACCAGTTTCTAGTCCCACAGGAAGGAAGGAAGGAAGGAAGGAAGGAAGGAAGGAAGGAAGGAAGGAAGGATTATAACTGGTGTTGTCAGCTGCAGCTAGTGGCTGACACCCAATGGGAGACCAGGGGCGCAGGCACATGCACGGGTGCTGTTGAGTGATGGCATGACATTTCTTCTGGGGAAAATGTGGGAATGATGACACACCTCTCTAGGAAACACTGGAAACTCTGCAATTAAAAGATTGAGTTTCCAGCTATTCCTAGAGAGGCATGACATTACTTCTGGGTATTCTCTAGGAGTGATGTCACACCATCACCATCACCCAACAACAATTTTTTTTTTTTACATTTTCCCCTACCTACTAGCCACCGGAATACCACAAGGCAATGGGAGCTGGTGGCAGGAGATCTCCTACCTTCAGTGGGGAAATGGCAAATACTGTTGTTACACAAGTCGAACTTCCGATCCAGGGAAACCACCTATTGTGAGATGCTCATCAGATCCTTGTTTTGTCATTGTTTGCGTGCCAGGCTGAGTCTCGTTCTTTAGTGCCTATCTTTGCCATCCTAAGCAAAGTCACAACATTCTTAGTCCACTGAAATCCATGTCCATTAGAAGCATGTAACTCTGCTTAGGATGGCACTGTATCTTTGTTTATTTAAGGAATTAGTACCTCATTAAAAAAGATATTCCTGGAGGCTAACACTTGCAAAAAGTGGGATAAAACCATAGCATTATAAAAAATAGTAAAAATAAATGACAACTGTAAGCTAGCAGCAAAATAAAAACAATAAGAAAATCCATCATAGAAGAGCAGCAAAACACAGTAATATTATGTTTTATTTTGTGCTGTTGCTGTTTTGTGTTCCCGGCAGTTAGTTGGATGGGATCTTTTCATTACTGGGGTTTTTATCATTAATATTTTTTGTTGTGTGTTTATTAGCTTTATAGCCTTGGATGCCCCTTAGGGTACATACATGTATCTAAATTAAATATAGCTTTTCCCAGGCTTTCTCCAGCTTCAGTATGTTATCTCTGAAACCTGGTTTGGTATGATCTTCCTGGAGGGGACACAGTACAAACATGTTAGCAAGTCATCTGGATGGCAAGGTTTGCATCTTCAAAAGCCATGCTCACATCTGCACTACTGTCCTTCCATCAGTCCCTTGCAGGTGCCATTTTTCTGCCGCTAAAAAATAATAATCAGTAATCGCTATTGAGCTATAGAACAACATTTGAAAAAGAGCTGGTTTTTAGAGTCTGCTTTTCTCTACCTTAAGGAGTCTCAATGTGGCTTACAATCCCCTTCCCTATTTCTCCCCACAACAGGCACCTTGTGAGGTAGGTGGGGCTGAGAGAGCTCTGAGAGAACTGTGGGTGGCCCAAGGTCACCCAGCAGGCTTCATGTGGAGAAGTGGGGAATAAAATCCAGTTCTCCAGAGTAGACTCTCCTGCTCTTAACCACTGCACCACACTGGCTCTCTGCCATTCTTAACCACTAAACCACCCTGGGATTTAGCCCCAGTAGATTAGATTTAGATACTATTCTCTCTCCATTCACAGCTTTCACTTCTTGAAAAGTCTCTGGTTCTTTCTCTGTGAAGATTCGTCTGCACAAGAAGGGCTAGAGATTTACTTTTTTAAAAAAAAAAAGTGAAAGATGGGGCTTCAGAGGAGGTAGCACATTGTGCTAATAGGGATTTATAATTTCATAATTTATTTTATTTATTTAGAACATTTTAACGTCACCTTTCCACTCAATCAAGATCCCAAGTGCAATAGCAACTACTGATTTTTAAATAAAGGCATTGCAGTGGCACAGCACAGGGAAATCGGGGGGGGGGGGGAGGAATCACAATCAATAGAGGAAAGTGTACACAACAATCTCACAGGGATGCCCCATTGCCAGTACAAATGCTAAGGATGGATATTGACAAGTTACAGTCAGAAAAAGTTTGGCTGAGAGAATAGTATTCTGGTTATCTCTGGAATGTTTAATATGCTCTTGATAGGCATGCAATAAGATGCTTCAAGGGATGGCAAAATTTTATTTTGTTGTGGGCAGCATCTAGATACCAATATTTTGTTTACTTTTGATGATTTAAAGCACCCAGGAAGGGGCCCTATTTCCTTCAGAGGTATTTTGTTCTGGAGCCCTTTCAGAGGCACTGCATTAAAGAACTGGGAGATACTAGGATAAGAAAGTCTTTGGGCGATTTCTCACTAGAGCTGCCTTGCAGCACAGCCGCCGTTTGCCCCGACGCAAACATGTCAATTTCACACCCGAAGCATTTTGACTCGCGGCTTCGCCCAATTTCCTCCGCAGTTTCGTGATCCTGGTTTTTGAGGATCATGAAACTGCGGAGGAAATTGGGCGAAGCCGCGGGTCAAATGCAGCCCCGCAGCCTCGGATGTGAAATTGACACGTTTGTGTTGGGGCAAACGGTGGCTGTGCTGCAAGGCAGCTCTAGTGAGAAATTGCCCTTTGTCTAACACATTTTGCACTAGGTTCGCCAGCCTCCAGGTGGGGCCTGGGGATCTCCCGCTTTTACAAATGATTTCCAGCTGACAGAGATCAGCTCCCCTGGAGAAAATGGCTGCTTTGAAGGGTGGACTCTATGGCATTGTGCCATACTGAGGCCCCTCCCCTCCCCAAACCCCACCTTCACCTGGATCCAGCTATTTTCTAACCCAGACCTGGCAACCCTATGTTGCACTGTCATCCTGCTAAAAATCCATCAGCACAGCTCTTGTATCTTAGACAAACATTAATCCAGTGCCCTTGACTATTAAACAGTAAATTGTATTGACCTTTGAAGTCCATGACCACGACTAAACCAAACATGTCATTGGCTGCCTTCAGTGGAATACAGAATTCAACATACACATTCAGTTGTGCAGCTGGTGCATTGTTAGGCATTAGGCCTGTAGTAGCTTAGTGCAGGTGTTGCAAGTGGGCTACAATGAATATACACATGGGATACACATAGACTTCATCCTGACAAGACAGAGGTTTTCTGGGCTAGGAGAAAGGCAGACCAGGGGCTCAAGATCTCTCCTGTCTTGGATGGGATTATATTCATCTCAAAAAGCCAGGTTTACGGCTTGGAAGTGCTGCTTGACACAGCAGTTGCCTTTGAAAACCAGTTTGCTGTGGGGGCTCGGAGTGCAGGTTATCCAGCTTCCTGGTTCAACAAATTACCAGATTACAAAATACAATACAAAATACATTTAGATTAGAAAGTGCCATAACACCCATAGAAGGCTCAAGCAATCCTGATACTCATAAACTGGAATGAGATTTCAAATGCAGCGTCCTACTGCTACACACTCATGATCCTGCAGAATATCCAAAATGATTGCTTTACTCATAGCGTTTCTAAGCTTCAATTCAAAATGCAAGGTCCGGTTCATAGTATTAGTAAGCGAAAAGCTCAATGCCATAAATCATTACAAGGTACAAGGTCTAATTAGAGTAAAATTCCAAATGCAGTGCCTTGCTTGCTGCAGACTCTTGATCCTACTGGGGCCTTTTTAAGGCGGGATGTAACAGTGGCTCCCCAGGGCCATTTTAGGTTGGGGAAAATGTCATGGAGGAGCTTAAGCCCCTTCTC